TCAGATCAGTCATATCGACGCCAGACTACTTGAGAATATTATCCCGGTGATCAACTATTGTCTGGCTACTTTCTATGACGACTCTGAGACGGACCAGCAAGAAGTTCAACAGATGAATGGTATGGCTGAGTGCATACACCTAAGGTTCTTGCAATCCCACTAACACAATCCTCTCAGAAATTCTCTCGCTCCTCAAATCGATGTCACTCGAAGAAGTCCCCGATGACCCGCCTTCCGGTATGCTCAAATCTCTATCCCTCGTGAATGGCACTGGAACATCATCTAACCCGATCCACTTAGACTCGGATGTGGCTTCAGTCGAGGAATGGGACGCAAACTCCGCGATCGCAACTGACTCTGAAGTGGGAGTTGCTGGATCTCCCTAGATAATGAATGACATTTCCTGCTGCGGTGCGCTTTTTGTTGTGTTTCTTTTCTATGCGTTTTTGCGATGTCAACGGATTCAGCGAGCACTATGTGTGCATGTGATTAAAGGCAAATTCTCATACCTCACGGATTTTACGAATTCTTGCTGTTTGTTTTTTCTTCCTTTTTAATGATTGTTGTTATTACTGGCGTTTTCTTTTGTTCATGATGGGCTGGAGTAGGATTTATTTCTATGAAGAGTGACTTTGAACGGACAGGTCATCTACATGCATTTCGCAAGCCTATTTCCGAGCATTGAAATGAAAGAGTTTCCGGTCTCGAGACCTCAGACTTTGAGCAGATTGCATTCAATAAAATCCGTAGGGCATTATTATTCATTTCGTCCAATGAGTAACACAGATACTTATTTTTTTCAACCCTCTTCCTCTCCGCCAGCTGGAGCATCGCCCTCATCTTCTGATTCGACTTCCACGGCAGCAAGTGCATCCCGCTGAGCCCGCGGAGCGCCGCGATTCTTCTTGTCAGGTTTAGGGCTACCAGGGTCAGGAGCGGTAGGTGCAGTTGCGAGTTTAGCCGCTGGAATGCCACCAGAAGTAACATAGAGGAAGTAACCCGCTGGGAAGTGATCGATATGGTTGAAGAAAGAACCAAAGCTGCAGTCATAGTCAGTATTGTCGTCTTAATGCGAAATCAAACAAGGGTATTGATTGGAATAATATCATACCCAGCACTTTGCTCCTCCTCCCGGAAAATCCGATCATAAATCTCCCGCTGCTTGAACTCATTCATCTCCGCCTCGAATTTCTGGAAATTAATCGGCTGACGATCAAGACCCTGTGCCTTAGTATTATAAGCATCGAAAATAGGCCGCTCAAGCAAGAGACCCAGACCAGGCGCTTTGGGAATAGCAATGCGCTCAGGACCATATGTCTCAGTGATCCGGTCTGGATGGCAGCCTGAGCGAACAACCATCGTGGCCATGGCGACCATCTTGCGGATCTGGTGCATCATGAAACTCTGTCCATGGACCTTCAGGCTGAGCCATTCGGTGCCATCGATGATAATCGGCGTGGTGTTCACCTTGAATGACTTGATGTGTCGTTTCGCTGAGGGGTCGTTGTGCGTCTTCTGGATCGTGTAGTTGTGGAAGTTCTTTGTGCCTTCGTAGCGGTTAAGACATTCTTGCAGACGGGCAATGCGTGAAGCAGGCGCGCGGTAGGCTCGTTTCGCGGTCAGATATGCTGCTTTGATGGCCTTGATGGCGTCGGTGGTGGCCTTTTGGCGGGGGTCCATGACGAAGGGCTTGGCCTCTGCGTCAGCTGGCTGTTCAGTTACGGGCTGTTCACTGGTCTCCTGTTTCACGGGTTCCTCGGCTGGCGCCGAAGAAACCTCCTTCTCTTCTGAGGGTTGGAGTGCTTCGCGGGAATCATCCTGGTAGAGAGACTTTTCGACGATGCTGCGGATGTTTTCCGGCAGAGTTTCCAAGATCGGCTTAATGTACTTCTCATCAACCTCTTGCCAATAGCTTGCGACCTCTTCCTGTCGAGCTTTGACGGCATCCAACTCACCTGCCTTGTCGGCAAGCTCGATGATTTTCTTTCCAAGATAGGTGCTTGGGTGGGGAGGCAGAAGGCAGTGGCTTGGCATCAAATATTCGTAAACTCGGGAATCACACATCTGGTAGCAGCTGAAACTTTTGCTGGTTATTTCGTAGCCCCAGACACGGATTTGGGGGCTGAGCTCGGCGTTTATTTTCTGGATGATATCCTCATCTTCAACGATCATCTTCAGCGACACTACATTTCCAGCTGCGTGGACACCCTTATCTGTGCGGGCACAACGGACGAAAGAAGATTTCTTGGGATCAGCCGCATTTGCTTTGGAAACTGCACCGACGTTGACGAGGGCCGTGAATAGATCACCTTCGATAGTGCGTTGCTGCTCGTTCCTATACCATACCTTGTTAGCACAAGGATTGACTACACATTCAACGAGAAAAGACTTACAACTGCATCCCAGAGTATCCAGTTCCCGAGTACCCCATTAGAAGTGCAACCTTCTTTTTGGGGCGGCGCTCCTCGCTGTCGATCTCCTCCTTGGAAAATTGGGTTGCGTAGATCGGCAAGTTGACTTCTTCACCGTTCTCAATCTTGCGACGCTTGGCTTCAGCCTTGTCTTCATGACGCTGACGCTTGTCTATCGCTTGTCGACTTAATTAGTTAGCCGACAATGCGATAAACGGTAGGTTACAATTCATGCGCCATACCTCCATTCCGCTCGCCCCATATCGCGGTTCTTACGCCTTCCACCACCTGCGCCTCCTGCTCCTTTGTTGTCGGCCATTGTATCCTTTGGAAGACCTCTGATAGCTCCACACGAGGTGCAGATGGGTCGCGCCAGAAAGAACGGTAAAATTGACGACTAACAGCGTTCTTCTGGGTGGTTTGAGGGAGCAATTGTATTGAAATTGAGCTCCTGGGTGCAGTTATGATCCCAAAAAGGTTCTGCTGACGAATGATCGAGGCACGCATGAAATGAATGTTTCGGGGAAATTTGTCCTCGACTCCGCGCGGTTCATCTTTTCCATGATATCGGTACTAGGCCTATAATGGCCTAGTGTGTGGATAAACCGGACTAGCCGTATCTAGCCACGTTTGAGCCTGAGGAATCAACTTTACATGTGACGTGAAGCTGTGGGCTTTGAAACCGCGAATTGTAACACTCATTGTTCAGTCAATCAACAAGCTCGGCGCTGCCTGTCGCTCAAGCGCGTTATCACTTTCGTCGCGGTCGCATTCACTCCTTTGCTACCTCTGATTGAAACATGCTTGTTTTGTCCAATATCTGAACACTGTGACTTTTCGCCTTGCGCTCCCGTTGAATTCTCTCCCGGCTTTCTTCCCGACTACCATCTTTTACTCCGGAGCTTCTACAACCATGGAACTTTCAAAGACCCTTATCAGAACTGTGGCGCGTGCCTTTTACGAGACCCGTCACATCTTGGTCGTTGATGCGCTCTTCTTACATTCAGTGTATGATGAGAGTTGATCTCTGTTGAATGGTCACTTTGCTGACCAGCTACAGACTTCACGCTGAGGATCTCGCTTTTTTAATGGGAATGCAGCAGAAAGATCTCCGCAAGCTTTGCGCCAGACTTCGAGAGGATCGCTTGATCGGAGTGTATGCCATTTCTCCTGACGACTAAGAGTGGAAAAAGCAAAGCTGATTCAGTTCTATGTTGAATACAGGAGCACACGTGCCGAAATACGTGATGGGTCTACTCGACCAGTCAACCGTGAATACTATTACATCCCCTTACACCCAGTCGTCGATGCGATCAAATTCAAAGTCTCCAAGTTGACAGCCACCATCAAAGCGCAATACACACCGAGCGAGGAGCGCAAGGAGTATATTTGCGTACGATGCAAGTCCGAATGGACCGAATTGGACGTGCTGAGTCTGGTTGGAGATGAAGGGTTTGAATGTCAAAATTGCGGCGCTATCCTGGAACGGACGGAGGATGTCAAGGGCGTGGAAGGAATCGACCGCACAGGTCACGAGAAAAACAGTAAGCTTATGGCACAGCTCGACAACATGCTCAAACTGCTCAAGCAGATTGACTCGGTCGAAATCCCGCCAAATGACTTTGAGACAGCGTGGGATCATAAGGTAGAGGTTATCCGAAACCAAAACACACACCCAGTTCGTGCCGCGATTGCTGTTCCACCCAAGGCTCAGGATATCACACGTCCCAATGCAAAAACGGATGCTGCTGCATTGGAGATCTCTCTCACCTCAAGTGAAGAGAAGAGTGCCGCTGAGCAGGCTGATGAGGCCGCTCGCAAAGCAGCACTCGAAAAGCAAAACGCACTTCCGGTTTGGCACACACATTCTACGGTGAATGCAGCCCAGGTTGGAACTCAGATCAAGACTGAGGTTGGCGCCGTGGTGAAACCTGAACTTGCGGATGAGGACCAAAAGCCTAGTGTGGATGCCTTGGACGACAAAGTCGCGGCTTACTACGCTGAAATGGAGCGAGAGAAGGCACTGCAGGCCCAAGCAGATGCCAGCAGTGCAGATGACGACTCAGACGAGGAAGACTTTGAGGACGTGGAGGGAATCTCCGGTCCAAGTGGACCGGCTACGCCCGCCATGGCTGGCGGTGTTACAAGTGCCCCTGTCACATCTTCTGGGGGTGCTGGTATCAAACGTGAGCTTGAACCGACTTCCAGTGCCCCTCCATCATCTGTTGGGACTCCGGCTACGCCCGCCGACGATGGACCTGTGGCAAAGAAAATCAAGGTTGAGCCTCACATCAAGCCTGATCCAGATGCCAAAATTCAGGCCGAGATCAAGAAGGAGGCCGAGGAGTCTGACGAGGATGATGAGGAATTTGAGGATGTATAATGAAATTATTTAGAAAAGCCAACATTGGCGCTGGCGCCAAATAATTATGGCAGACTGGGCAGCCCTGGAGGCTTGCAAAACCCCCTGAAATCGCGCATAGCCTTAGAATTGCATTTTACCCAATCTTCAAGACCCCGAGAATCGAAATACACTGAAAACATTGTTTGCAAAGAGCACCGAAATTGAAGTGGAAAAGCAAGTACATTCTAGAGTTTGGCCTTCATAAAATCTTGATAGTAGAGTTTGATGCTTTGTCGTGCCTTCTCATCACGCTTAGCAATAATGTTCATCACAGAGTAGATGCCTTTCGCTCGACTTTGCCACCGCTTTCCAAAATTGCTTTCCGTGAACAGTTGCAGTCCTTTACAGCTTTCCACTAAGGGATGCCCGATAAGAGCAACAGTTTTATCGTCATGAAACTCGAAAGGAAAGCCAAAGACTACATAAAACCGAGGCAGGGGATGCTGTTCATTGGACTTCCAGTCCAGCTTTTTCCAATTTAATTCAAGTTTTCCAGGCAAGCGACGTAGCGAAAGTGCCGACTTCCACCAATCTGCCAATAGATGCTGTCCTCGCTTTCCAACGACTGCATGAACGCAACCATTGGTTCCAATAACCAAATGGACGAGCACACGATCAGCAACTACGTCGACTGGAACCTCGTCAATAAATGCCTGAGAAGCTTTTTCTACTGCTTTCGTTGCAACAGTAACCATGCCAGCAGGGCTCAGTGCAATTATAGCAGCAACCGTTGTCAGTGGACTTGATAGTGGCACGTTGTACCCAGGATATGGAAAATTCTGGGCCGGTCCGATGGTAGAAGGGCGCACGATAAGCAGCTTGTCCTTGACACCGCTCTCAGCGAACTGATAGAGAAGAAGTCGCTCTGTCAGGTTCTTTGCGTATGCGTAGGACCATGGGAAGTCGTGGGCTTTATACGCATCGCTGGTACCGCTCTCTTGCACTTGTGCCCACTCTTTCATGACGTTTGCGTTTGGATGAGGGTTGGGATCATATATGTCTTCTTTGAGCTCGACTTTGATGCCGTCACCGGTGGGAGGTAGGTGGGAATTGCAATATCCAGTCGAGAGGTAAACAAAGCGATCCAAATTTGGACAGGTCAGAGCAATGCCTGCTATTCTTTCACTGGCTCCGATAATCACATCTGATAGTCCACTGAGGGGCTTCGCAAGGTTTATAGAGGAGGCCGAGTGAATGACAACATTGACCTCTTGGCGAAGTGTGTTCAACTCGTTTTGGGAAAGCCCGAGGTCGGGTGAGAGAATGTCACCATTCATGGCGGTGATGCGATTGGTGCTAAGGAGTCTTTCGACTATTGCCGATGATAGAGATTCTGTCCATTTTGATCGGAGTTTGCTACAGTCCGAGTTGTCAATTTATTTCTCTCAAGGGTTTGAGGATGGACTGACCCTATACCTCCCCTGCAAAGCATATATATGTGACACCCGGAAGTTTGCGTGAGCAAGCGATATACAATGGCAGTGCCCAGGAAGCCAGTTCCTCCCGTGATGAAGATGGTTTTGTCATTGTAGTAGTTCCACATTTTGAACATTAAATCAGATATTGCAAAGAAATGGTCAGATGTAGACTCTATTATATATCTTCGGCAATATAACCCACGATCTTGTTTCGACCTAGCAAGCCATGTGGATATCAGTGATTTGCAAACCCCTTGCCTGGGAGCATTCCAACCACCATGCACTATATATGTATGTACATATGAGTTGTATAACATAGAATCTTGGAGTAGGGCTAGCTGAGCTATCACATTTCCATCTTGATGCTATTGTTCAATTGGTGGATATAGATGTCTCATGTCATCTTCCAAGAAACTCGCATAAAAGTTTTGTTTGAGAGAGATGATTACACCACATGAGTCGTTAATGCATCTTCGTCTCAAGATATATTTATTTTGTACCCCCTCACTAATTTGCTTGTTTTTAGGGTCCAAGGCGCTTTGAGAATTAGCGTAGAGCAAGGGGCGTGAGTATGATTGATCGGATGGGAATCCATTTTTCTACATCCTATGATCGTATGTGCTTTAATCATTAGGATAAGTAGGAAATAGATGTGCATCAAAAGAGTTGAGTATAACTAGGCAAGTTATTTGTCTGGGCATCTATGACCATTTTAGCCTAAAGCTTCTACGGCTGTCACTAGCGGCCAAATGCCTACATGATCAAGCCCTTGGCCACTTGGAAAATCCTTACATTTCAGTCTCAAGCCGTCCACTATGAGGTCCTTAGATTATTAATCTTTAGATAGACCACCGGGCGACAGCGACGACCAAGCAATTCTTATTTGGACTGAGGTCCAAGTCTCCAAAGATCTGGAGCTAGATACCGACCAATGAGCTAAACATTTTCAGCCACTGTTTCGGGCCCCACCAAGACACGAGCGATCTGTGTGGGGACGGGTTCGGGGAAGCCCGGACACGATTCTTCTAATAACAAGTGAGTGTGCTTCAAACTAGAACCAAAAGTCAGACCGCTCATACCTACTATAAAGCATGGAAGAGCACCTTGAATATAACCGAATTTATAGCCTCACGTCTAGCCCAGATCTATCGGGAGAATTTTGAGAGTGGAGGAATGATACATATGTCCTCTTGTGAGGCATTTTCTCGATATGGTTTTCGGATCTACAGACTTCCACACCTCCTACGGTCATACGTTCAATTGTTCTGGGTTTATTTTCTGACACCTCTGACCCAAGCCTACAAGGCCCAGATTTTTAAACTGACATGCATCTGTACCGGGTCACAGCCCTATTTGCCTTGAAAGATATGGGCCACGCATAGAATTGGTGCATCGCCAAGAGGCGCCCTTTGTAGTGACTGTACGACACCTCATGCACTTATTCCTATAACTGTATTAGTTATATTTTGTACAAATATCTTCGCAAGAGAATTAATGTGGTATTTATGTATTGAAAAATGTGTTGGGCGCTTGGCACAGTTATATGGGAAAATAACGGCAGTTAACTATTTCTCTGTTTGAGAGAGATAGCACATGAGTCCATAATGATTTGATAGATTTTCATCGCAAAGATATATCAATTTCTGACCCATTCATTGGTTTATTCGCTGCTTTATGTTCAAGGTGCCCTGACAATTGGCCTAGAGTAAGGGGCTTAGCGGGTGGGAAGCCCTGTTTTCCATACCCTACGTAGGTGCTTCAACTATTAGAAAAAATCAGGAAAAACAGATACGCATCATAAGGGCCGGTTATACTTAACTACATAGGCAAGTTGGGATTCCCCAGGCGCCTTTCCCGTTTTAGCTTAACGCCTCCAAGGATAGATTTAGATAGCACCGGCCGCTCACAACTCGTTTATCACTAGCGGCAAAATGCCAAAATAGTATTTTAAGTTCCCAGTCACTCCCAAAATTCTACTCTGTACTTACCTTTCAACTTCAAACATTCAGCCATGAGAACTTTGGAATGTACTCTGGATAGATCACCGAACGGCGAAGACCAGACGGTTCTTATTTGGACCGAGCTCCAAGTTCCTAATGACCTGGAGCTAACCGACCAATGGGCTGGGTATTTTCAGCCACTACTTCGGGCCCCGGGACACGAAGGGTCTATGTGGGGAAGGGTTCAGGAGCGCCCGAACACGATTCTTCTATTAACAGGTAAGTCGTGCTTTAAACTAGAACTAAAGACAGCTTGCTGATACCTATAAGGATGGAAGAGCACCTCGATTATGAAGGAATTCATAGCCTCGCCTTCCGCTAAGATCTATTGGGAGAATCTTAAGAACGGAGGAATAATATATATGTCCTCTCGTGAGACATTTTCTCGCTATGACTTCTGGAGCCGTATCTCCCGCAACTTCCTATACTCATACGTTCAATTATTCTGGGTTTACTTTCCCGCGCCTGTGAACGAAGCCTACAAGGCCCGAATTCGGAAACTACGATCCACTGAAAACGGGCTAGCTCAACAACATAGGCCTTTGAAGATATGGGCTACCAACACAGAATTCGTGCATGGTCAAGAGGCTCGGTTAATGGTGTGGTCGAACTTCTGGCAGGACGAAAGTTGTGCCGAGTATAGGCATCATCGGGAATATAACACGATTCAAGGCATGGGGGCTCGTGTTCGTGTGGTCCACTGCAAACCCCAACTAGAGAGGGTCAGTGACAGTCTGGAGGAAGTAGGAGCAGTGGGATGGAAGGAAGAGTTTGTTTATTTCAAGCAATTTGAGTCTCCGGCCGTTCTAGTTTGACATTTTATCTGGAGATTGGAAGTTTCATGATCATTCGTAGTGACTATAAAATATCTCATACACCTAGACCTATAACTGACTTTATCATATTATATCCTGTACAAATATCTGTGCAACAGAATTAATGTGGTGTATAATGAAACAGGCGAGAGCGAAGTGTGAGGGATGGGCCAAGACTGAAGTTCATCCGCGCTTTCTTTACTCTGTACAAGCGTATATAACAAAAGAAAGGCAGTATAGGGGCCTTGGTGTGAAAATCCGAACAATCACTATAACTATGCCAGATTCGTCAATTTCGCCTAGACAATGCCTCCCCTTTTCTCATTGTCTCAGTCTATCTGGACCAACTGAGCTACGCCGGATTGGAAGCTCCATCGTTTATTTGCGTTGCTCTGTTTGTCATTCCAGTTGGTTTGCAGGAAATTCCAGTACCCCACGCTGAAGAAGACATAGGTCTCGGGGTTTTGGCACACGAGATTATGATTATTCAAAGGCGCATACTTTCTCGGTCTGCCAGTGGGCTTCTTGAGCACAGCTTGAATTTCTTTCCACGAGTCTTCGAGTCATTAGCCATGCCCGAAACTGTCCAGGCTATGTGCCAGATTGTGAGAACTTACAGAAAGGATCAGGTGTTGTCAACACATCAATGGCGAGATGGAAAAGCTCATGGTAGAAAGTTGCACTTTTCGGGAGAAACTCGGGGATTGACATGCCTGCTGTGGGTGTTTTTGAGCCAAGGGAATCGATAGCCTGGGGATTACTAAAGCTAAGAGGACACAACGTGACCGTGGAGGGTTCGCTTTGATCTTGCGTTCCTGCAAGATTTGTTTTCCCGTCGAGCCCTGGTTTGGTGCAATAAGACTTATCCCCGTAATCCTCCTGAAAAACATATTCATGCAAATCATCTGACCAGTAAGGAGCGTTGCCATTGCTCACATACTGGCCAGTTTTTTCGTCTTCTGTAAACAGAAACGGGCGATAGTCCTTAATATCCTCAATTTTCTTATGAACAAGTCCGTTCGGACCTTCTTCCATAATCTCCTTTCTTGACCCTTCTGTTCCTTCTTCGGTGTTCCAAGCTGCATTCGTTCTAGACAGCCTCTCGAGCCACGTGTCATCGCAGTATAAACGTGGGGTGCGTTCATGCTTCGAATTCCCCTTCATAAAGTTCTGTACTGCCTCGAGGTTTTCTAACATGATGTCAGCAACATAAGGTGTAAGGTTATATAAGGGACGAGAAGCTCACTCTTGATCAAACCTGACTTTTCATCTCCAATTTTAACGCCGAAGTACGACTTGAGATAGCGTTGGGCAATTTTAGATTCCTTGGATGAGGGGTCCGCGGCATGGGTCAGCGCTTGGAGACCAGCGTCGACCATGGCTCTGCTTTCGGTTAAAAATTTACCGAGTGGATTTGGGAAATGGTCGCCACAATTGCCCTTTCCAGGTGCTTCTTTGAACAAGAATAACTTCTCAATCTTTAGATCAGGGGTGGGGGGCTCCGTCCCAACAATCGAAGGCACAAGTAACAGCCAAAACGTGAGAATAGATATGATATACATGACCCGGACCAATTCTCCTCAGCCTAGAGGAGGAAAATACACCACAGAGTAAAACCCATAAGCTCACAAACAACGCGTACGGAAGCTAGTATTATATGATTTCCAATCCCAAGATTCAAATTCGGACTCCGGTACCATCATCATCCCGAGCTTAGCTTAGTAGATAGTTATAGTAGGTAAATAATGAGGTGAAAATGGCATAGCAATCTGGATCCACAAGTGTGACATCGGGAAGATAACATGCAATTTCAACCGACATCAAAGGATTTAGTACTAGTGGGTTATTTGCATATACGCGCTTTGGTTACGGAGTACGGTGTAGTTCAAGATATGATGTTGAGTGGGAGGACCGAAGCTTGGAAATTGCAAAATTACGAGCTAGCACTGACCCTAATAACATTTTGACTTCGTTCACTTATTCTTCATCCTATATTTCTACTTATTCTGCCTATTTTGCTGTCATCCAAGAAGTATACCTAGACGGGGCTCCGATGTTAAACCCTGTTTGAGTACTATTAGTCACCACATTGTACGGAGTATGGATAACTATAGCCTATAGGTGATCAATGCCGATTTCACCAAAAGCCACCCAGAATCGAATATCGCGTGGCTGCCACGCGGGAAAAATCGGTTGCGATTAGACCCTAGTCACCTTAGTATGTACCCCGTGGTCCCTTGGTAGATCTTGGCGATCACTTGGAGTCTAGAGATCAGCCACAGCCCCACCAGCTGGGCCAATCAGCCGGCATGTCGTTATGCCTTTGAGACATGAAATAAGCTTGTAAGAAACTCGAAAAGGAGCTTGTTAATATGCAATTTCCGGTACTGCCACAGAAAACACACTCTTCTTGTGCCATTGTTCTGACACTATACCTAGGTGGGTCTTCGGGTAATCTACAGATGTTCCCGAAATCGTTAGCTCCGCATCTAGATTCCAGAAATGTCGTTATCACTACTATCCAGTTGTTCCGAATGGTGACTTGCCTTTGATATTTGAAGATTTGTGTTGATGTAACCCAAGGCTAACTCATTTACACGGACATAGCACTAATTTACCTGAACTCTCATGTTTCAAAGGATTTTGCCCGCCGAGAACCGGCCGAGAAAGACTGCCTAGGACCAATGGGCCAAAGAGAATCTCCAATCCAGATACTAGATAGTAGTACGGAGTACAATTCGGAATTACAACATAACAAGGTTCATGAACGATGTAAGAAACAAAAAGTGCTCCATATACTCGCAATCATGTCTATAACTGACCATTCGCTATTCTATTCCAAGACAATCATTGGCAGAATGGCCCCCATCTATTCAGTTATTGCTCTAGCTACTCTGGCTCTGGCTGTTGAGGCCTCTGAATGCTGGACCTCAATTCGAAACGATACAATCGCCTGCTACAACAGTGCCCCCATCACCTTCAACTTCGATTTGAAAACGGCCACCGATTGCCGGAACTGGTGTGGCGAGATTGAAAAATGTCAATCCTGGACCTACGTCGAATACTCAAACCAGTGTGATCTTTATCGCACCGCAGCTTTGAGCATTTCGAATAACACTGGCTTCACCTTTGGCGGGTGTGACCCTGTTGGAACTCCGTCGGTCAATAGTTTCACTCCGTCCCCATTCAGCATATCTGCGACTAGCACTGCTAGCACACATGTGGAAATTGAGACTGGCCATTTGGTAGGCTTTCCCTTTCCTTTAGTGAATCTCCGGCAATTTAGCTAACAATGGGGTTCTTTATAGTCCCGGGCCGTGCGCGGAGTGGGTCACGGATATGGCCGCAAGCATGGACATGGCCATCACTAAATGATATTGTCATGTGCGTCCCGGGGCAAGTCTCTTGCATGTTGAATAGGTGATTTTATGGCAAGGTTGGGATTTCGAGCAGGAGGGAAAATACTTTTATATTTGGTGATTTATTTCTTTAGTCAAGAAAGGATAGCTGAAGAAATGTTGCTGGTGTTCTGTGATCCACTCAGATATACGAAATACGGCTGAGTAAATTCACAGTTTGTCCCAAATGGTTGAAGCTAAAGTGCACGGAAAATATCCGGCATTTGATGCTTCAGCTTTGATGCTGGGAAACTGTTCATAGTCTTCTTTCTAATTGCCTTTCTAACGATCGTTGTAGGCATGTCGTATCTCTCAAGACATCAGAGGGCAGCCCTGTTGAGGCCTTTTGAAGTTCAAATATTTTAGTAGCGCACTTCTCAGTCAACAATGGCCTCGAGGACTTCCGAGACTTCCGAAGCATCGTTGGATTATTCTCGTGCTTTTTTTTCTCGTAGCAGAACTACGTTGTAAAGATACTAGTCGAATCTTAATGCATGGAAATACCAGTTTAGGTGTACATTTTAAGCCGTGTATCGTTGACATTCTGTCCTTTATTTTAGCCTAATTCTGTCTTAGCATTCCACCCGAGGGAATATATATCCAAACAAATTTGTACCCCAAGGGGGCATCAGGCTACTAGAAGAACTACCAGAAGGACTACTGGAAATTATGCCAAAATCACTACCAATGACTTAAGAACGTCACATATAATCGGTAACTAGGTAACTAGTTATTTATTCTTGTCCATATTATGATCTATGGAAATTTCAGGGTGCCCGATATATCAGGTAACAAATCATGTGACAACACCTGTTGTTTACTAGCAGTACGGAGTAGATAGATCCTGCTCTCTCTCCCCCTTTACCCTCCTCAGTCTTTCCCTTTTTATCAGGAAGCACAGGTCAAGCTCTAAGTCTTATTCCTGATCGGTTTTATTACCATATTGAGATCTCTAGAGAAATACTACTCCGTACGGAGCCCGACGAGCCACATGCGCCAAGTAGTTACCTCCCAGCCAAGAGACGCTAAGCAAATGTACATATATTGTAGTTGCATTGGTCATGATCCACTTGTTGGGTCAATCTAATAATTCCTTGGCTGGATACCGGATTGTAACTTTGCACCGGCGTTCTACTAACACCAGGAATTTTCATGAAGCGAGGACTCACAATGGCACTTGATGTCGGCAACGCAATCTCCGACTCCCCCGACGCAATTACACTAACTCGGTGGAGATTCTAAGAAAAATATCTCTCAGTCTTGATAGCGAGGGGGCCAAAATGGGGGGCCAGGATGGTTGATTGTTCTAGTCGTCAAAAGGTGAGGTTTATCCCAAACTAGGAGAATTCGATATCTCCTTTCTAAGCGTTCCGGGCTACTAGAACTAGCCATGGTATTCTTCCTGGCTTGGATCACGGTGCTTCTGCTGACCTGCCGAGTGCAGGCAGCATCTGTCTTTGCTCACTTTATGGTAATCAATTGTATCTCATAAAGTATCTATTTTGAATTTGTTAACGGGATGACTAGGTGACCAACTCGGCAAATTATACATCCAATGACTGGTCGAACGAGATGAAACTGGCGCAGGATGCGCATATTGATGCATTTGCACTGAATATGGCCTACAATGACCCGACAAACGTGAAGGCTCTCCCTGCCGCGTTTGCAGCGGCAGACAGTGTTGGGTTTCAACTATTTTTCTCATTTGATTATGCTGGAAACGGCAACTGGCCAAAAAGCGATGTTATCAACCTGATCAACCAGTATAGCCAACACTCGTCATACTTCTTCTACAGAGGAAAAGCGTTTGTGTCAACATTTGAAGGCCCTGGTCGTGCCGATGATTGGCCTTCAATTAAGTCCCAGACCGGCTGCTTTTTCATCCCGAGCTGGTCTTCCCTGGGCGCTAAACCTGCCGTTGAAACTGGAGTCGTCGATGGTCTTTTCAGCTGGGCAGGATGGCCATGGGGTCCCCAAGACATGGACACTTACATTGATGCTTCCTACGTTCAATATTTGGCGGGTAAACCATATATGATGCCCGTTTCTCCGTGGTTCTATACCAATCTGCCTGGATACAAGAAGAACTGGATGTGGCGAGGAGATCACTTGTGGCACGATCGCTGGCAGGAGGTAATCTTCGTCCAGCCTGAATTTGTGCAGATTATCTCATGGAATGACTATGGTGAGTCTCACTACATTGGCCCTCTTTATGACAAATCTATGGAGGCCTTTGAAATTGGAAAGGCACCATTCAACTATGTGACCGATATGCCCCACGATGGTTGGCGCTTACAGCTCCCCTTCTGGATCGATATGTACAAGCAGGGAACTGCTACAGTCACCGAAGAGAGCATCGTCGCCTGGTATCGATTAAGCCCTGCAGCAGCCTGTGGCAGCGGAGGCACTAGTGGAAACACAGCCCAACAGCTACAGATTGAATACCCACCTGCTGAAATGGCCCAAGATCACGTTTTCTTCTCCGCCGTGCTTGGTTCATTCTCTGGAGTGGTTGTTTACATTGGTGGGGTAGGTCAAACTGCCGCGTGGACAACAGTTCCGGATGACAATGTCGGCGTCTACCATGGCAGTCAGGCCTTTAATGGCCGCACTGGAGCTGTGACTGTGTCTTTGATGCGTGTGAACAAGATTATCACCACTATCGAGGGTGAGCCCATCTCTGCTGGCTGTCCCCATGGAATCCAGAACTGGAATGCCTGGGTCGGCAGTGCAACAGGCGATACGATATCAGCTAAACCCAAGCTATCCCTGTACGACCAGAGCTGCATGAACGGCACTGGCGCTAACAACTTTGCTGGTCTGTGTCAGTTCGCATGCACATACGGCTACTGTCCACTTGGGGCGTGTACGTGCACGAAGATGGGCCTAGGTTATGAGAAACCCAACTCGACCGGGGTGAACGGCTACCCCATTGCAGGCGAGGGAGCTAGCTATAGTGGACTATGTTCGTTCGACTGCAATCTCGGTTATTGCCCACCCTCGACCTGTGGCACCGTGGAGGTGCCTTTGGTTATACCAACCGTCTCGCCATTTCTTCCTCCAGCCTGCACCTCAGGAACTGGCGAGGGGAACCTAGCTGGTCTCTGTGACTTTAGCTGTACACATGGATTCTGTCCAATGAATGCGTGCACCTGCACTGGCCAGGGTGCAGTGAATGTCATGGCTCCTACAACCGATAAGACTGGCACAGCTGCTCCAGGGCTAGATGCCACCGTATATGGGCCCATGTGTGAATACACTTGTCAACGTGGATACTGCCCTGAAGGTGCCTGTGTGGAACAAGACTCTAGTGATTCAGGGTCAGGGTCAGGGTCAGGGTCAGGGTCTGGATCTGGATCTGGAGATGTATATATCGCACCTTCCATCTGGGATGAGCCTTCACCGGTAATCCAATGCCAACCTCCATGCTCCCTGATTTTGCCTCCGCTGCCTCTTGATTCTCCATCCACCATCTCCGTCCCGCCATGGACTACCCCAGTCACTCAGAGCTACCTGACTACCAGAACGTCAACTGACGAAAATGGACTTACAGCCACTTATCATGGCTATAACGTGACAACAGTGTTTGCAATTATCTCTTTCCCAACATGTGAGGCATCCGTCTATTCTCAAACTTACTGTTGTAAAATATTTGGCTAACCCCTGTTCTAGCTGTGCTGACCGAGGTTCCCGTGTGGGGATTATCGATCAATGCGAGCCAGACTGACCCTTTTAACGTAGAGATGACAAGAAGCCTTACCTTGCCCCATATGGTATACGTGCTACCTCCATTTGGAACAGCTCCCACTCAAACAAGGAGCACCACCACCCTAACCCCACCTCCATACCCCTGGACGCAGACAGCCGAGGACAGCCAAGTCAACAGGGGCTCGACCAAAACCACTTGGTCCTCCGGTCCTCCAACACCCTCAGTCAGCAAAGGTAGTAAGGGTAGCGGTCATAGCTGCTTTCCGTTCTGCTTCTGGCCATGTCCACTCTGCCCCCCTGGTTTTGGTATATCTGGCGGTGGTGGCAGCGGCGGTAGTGGTAGTGGCAGTGGCTCTGAGGGTGAAAATGAGGAAGAATGTAGAACTCGAACAGCACAAGTGTGTTCTACAGTCTGTGTTGAAGGCTCTGGGTGTGACTTCGATTGCTCCACCACGACTGGGTGCTCTGCAACCGCATCATCGACTAAAATTATTGGCACACCAGCGCCTGCTATTTCGATCAGCATGGAAACCTGGACACCGCAGACCGTTGACCGGGAGGAGGCCATAAGCCTCGCCATATCTCTGGAGTCGGTGCTTTCTTCCATGTTCGGAACTTTGACCGTTCTCAAGGGGCCGGGAACGACAACCACTGCAACCGGGCCCGCCCCCACGACCGGTGCCGGTGCCGCGCGCCTCCAGCTCTTCTGGTACACTGAAGGCTCAGACGATGACGGTGAATGGGATTTCTATATATACTATGGTGACGGGATGGGAGACCATGGTGGATGTCCTTCAATAGTAACTCCCGACTTTGTGAAGAAAGATGGGTCCTGGAGGGGCATTCACGATGGGGATAGTGGTTTCAACCTCTTTGGGACATCGTGTAAATACGAAGGATTGGATTTGCCTACGGGCATCAAGGGCAAGGAGGTTGGTAAGTTTGTGTGTGATGGATACCGTGATGCTACTTGTTATGAAGGTGATGATTCGCAGAGAACATGCGAATATTGGACAAAGACTTACCATGTCATGAGATGTGAGTGGTAGAGTTAGAAAAAGGGGTTGATTGTCGCACAAAGCCTAGTGAATTGAAAGACTTCCGAATAGTAAAGCGACACTACTTACGGGTTGGAAAATAGGATATGGCATCTCAGATGCCATACCAACGCTTTCTATAGCTATTGTAGTGGGGAGCACTGTCATTGACGCAGGTAATGTCTGTCTGCGAACCAGACAAAACCAGGGCAAGTTGTTGAGTAGCGAAAGGTAGGAGAAAGAAACCTAGGGGTATCCTTGCGAGGCCCCTCTACAATATGTAAAATCGCAACTAAGATAAGGAAGAAGTTTTAAAAAAGGAGTTCAACTTCTAACTGGGAATTCTAAATAGCCTTCGATCTCACAAGACTTCACTATTGTGAAGACAATCAAATACCTTCTAATCTCTTGATAGTAAAGCTAGAAACTCGAATCTTAATACGGTATTTTAAGTATTCCCAGATCAAAAGCCATATTAAACAGAATTTAGTCTTTCATTAGAGGCTGATAATTTAGCGTGGGGTTGCGGTTGATATATATTGTACAGGGAGACGTGAGAAATGGCCGTGTGAACTGACTAAGCAAAAGACGTCCACGGGTGTATTTAACCTTGGAAGTGCTGGAAGCAAGAGATTAGAAGAATAGCCAATCCTTTCTCCTACAAACTACTCCTTGGTTTCCTTCTCCTATCTTCCGCTATTCAACAACCTGCACTGGTTTTGTCTGGTTCGCAGACAGGCATTACCCGCGTCTATGACAGCGCACCCCACTTCGATATATATCTTTGCTGATAGCGTCCAAGGAAAGGATCATATGGACTGAACGTACCATAGAAGGAGCCTCCAGGCCTATATGATCACTTAGCTAATCCCCCACTCGCTCCAGGGCTATTTATGTTCTTGACTTGGAAAATATCTTTGTTAGAGTTGTGCAAGGGATCGGAATCAACACCTTCAAATCATTGTCAGGGTAATAAAGATGGTTAGATCTTGAGGCTATTGCTCACCAGAGATTATCACGAAGTTCTTCAACTTCAAAGGGACCATCGTCATCTCAAATTACGGCGCCCATCGAGTGCGAAAGCACTTCAAACACCCAAACTCCAAGTCCTGTGAAAATCTGTAAATCCTGTTCTGTCAACTTTTGGTACTGATATTTATTAGTTGTTTCCTCCGGATGAGAAACATAACTCGGAAGATCCTGTAGACTGCTAAGCTCGCTGTTAAATGGCTCTGATAAACGCCTATTTTAAAACGGGATCGAGGAACTTTTCGCTAGAAGGCACAAGGCCCATTCAACAGCCATATGGAATACGCACATCAATCTTAGGTGACACATTCCTATAAACTACTTAATACCATCCAAATTTAGCAGATGAGTTGACTGCAGCTCTCCATGAATATTCAGGGTATCGGCAACGTGGGGTTGCACTGGCGTACTTTTGTTGAAGTTAACGGACACCACTGATTGGAGGGGTTTGTACACGATAGCGACGAATTTCACAAGTTAGAGTCGTTGATTGCAAATCAGTAGATTATGCACACCCAATAAAGAGGGTCTGAGATGAATAAAAAGGCGGGGAAGAAAAAGCGCTGATGCGTTGGAGAATAAAATGGGACTGCTGGCATAAAGGAGCCAAGCAGCTCCCCCGCTCAGAGGCCAGTCACTGCTGCTTCTACCTAAAGGAACAATCTACCATGACTTGGCTCAATATGAGATTCTTACATGCCAGTTGAGACATATCTGGAGTCATAGCGATGGTTTTAGCAAAATGGTCAGCCGGGTACATTTTCACTCCAGTTCGGAGTTTCTTATATTTTGTTCGAACTATATATTTCAAGTCCTGCCGTTCCATAATTTTGCTTTGCTGGCATAGAAAAAAAAAGTCTCAGTAAAATATAATGGCGACTACACTAGTCTGCTTATTTTTGTTGGCAGCTGCGGGTCTTTACGGCTTGGGCCGAGTTGTATACAATGTCTTCTTCCACCCACTGCGGAAATTCCCTGGGCCTTGGATGGCTGGGGCTACGTCGAGCTGGAAAGCATATAAAGAAGTTATCAAGCAAGAGTCTGCCGTTCATGAGCTCTTTGGTCTTCATAAGAAATATGGTATGAACTAATTGGGATTATGAGTCTTTTTGTTTAACATTCATAATAGGCGATATTGTCCGTGTTGCTCCGAATGAGGTGAGTTGTGAATGATCAACCCATTCTACACTTCCCTGTTTGGGTTATAGGGCTCAAATAGGTCTATCACTCACATGTAAAAGCTCCATTTCGGAAGCCCCGGTGCGTTCCACGATATCTACCATAGCAGCAAAAGGTGGGACAAGGATACGGGTCTTTACCGAACCCCCGGGGTTTCATCTGGATCCTTTACATTTTTGAAGTATGCGCAGGCAAAAGAACGAAGGGAGGTGATTCTTCCCATTTTTTCCAAGAAAGCCATCAATAGTCTTGAGCATCTGGTCTGGCAAAATGTGAGTAATATATTGCTTTTGTGAGTATATCTCAACAAATACTAAATCACCGGGCCATAGGCAACTCGCCTTGCGTCTTCAATTGCCAAAACAAATGCATCAAAAAGCTCCGTCGACCTCCTCTATGCATTCCGATCCTACACCCTGGACACTATAATGTGTTTCACATTCGGAAACTGCATAAACGCCCTTGATGCGCCGGCGTTCAGCGACCCTCTAATTCTAGCTATGGACGCCAGCCTTCGTATGATACCACTTATGAAGAACTTCCCTATGATCCGAGATCTTATCTTCGCCGTACCACCGGCTCTAGTTATGCGCCTGATTCCAAATGCCCAGAAACTAGCTCCACGCCTATATCAGGTCCGGGATCTCGTCCAGCAACAGCTTAAAGTCGTCCTAAATTGTCCTTCGAAGCTTGATAATGTACCACACCAGACTCTCTTCCACCGTATGCTCGATCCAGAATCATACCGGAGTAAGGAAGTCTTGAATATGACAGAGCTACACGATGAAGGCTTCACACTCATCTTCGCAGGCGCCAACACAGTAGCTGACACGTTGCTTATGGGCCATTGGCATGCAATGCAGAACCAGGCCTTGCTAACCCAACTAAGGACCGAGCTCCTGACTGTATGGCCCAACGTCGAAAAGCATCCATCGCTAAAAGATCTCGAGACCCTACCACTCCTCACGGCAGTGATCAAAGAATCCCTGCGATTCATTCCGTCTGGCGTGTCGCTAACGCGCGTCGTTCCGCCAGGAGGCGCAGTGATAGCAGGACAGCAGATTCCCGGCGGGACGGTGGTGGGGATGGCGATTTTGCACGTACATCAGAGCGCGGAAGTATGGGGTAAGGATGCACTTATGTTCCGGCCGGAACGGTGGCTAGAGAGCGCAGACAAAGAGAATTCCTGGAACGGGAAGAGTGAATTGGATCACTGGCTGGTTCCGTTCAGTCGTGGGCCGCGCATGTGTTTTGGTATGAACTTGGCCTGGGCGGAGTTGTACATCGCGTTTGCGATCATGATCAGGCAGTTTGATTTGACTATTGATGGCACGACAGAGGAGGATATGCAATGGCGGGAGTGCATCGCGGCTTACTACCCTAACAGGCACTTGCATGCGTGGTGTCGCCCGGCTGAGTCTGGGATTATGAAGTAAAGAGGTGGTGTTTATGTAGCTTTATGAGACACGAATTTCGGTGTCCTAGACAGGTAGGGCTCATGATCGAGGGTCGCGAAATTGCAAATCATACCAGACGTTACGCATTGTTAAGAATAAATACCATCAATCATATCATGATCGCCCGTGTCTGTCTGAATTGACTTGGGGCTCTTGCGTCTTGAGAACTCGTCTCTTTCCTTGAAGAATGCGTCCTTCTGAAGGGGAAAGGGGAAAAGACAACAAAAACAATAAGGAAAATTATGAAGTCCGATGATTCACACTATCACAAGTGTCACAGAGTACATCCAGAGTCGCAACGGATCCTGATTGAGACGTCCGTTATCAAACCCATTCAGCCCACAACCGCTCATTCTACATTCATTCCAACCAGACCGTTTGCTGTGCATGTTCCTTCTAGCGGCAACTCCTACTCAAAGATTGTAGTGGTTGAGCAGTGCTGGACAGTTCTACCGTCTTGCTGTTGATTATGACTTGGTCAAGGCCTGAGCGAGGTGGATTGGTTCCGTTTCCTCCACAGCTAAGCAAACGCCTGGTTCTTCAGGCCCAGAAGCAGACTCCCCTTTGGGCTGTAACCCCATGTCATGAGACCGATCCAGACATCGTGCTCCAACATGATAGCACACTTCGCAGATATCGAAGGACCCTTCATTACAAGTGGAGCAACGCCAGAAAGCCTCACTTTCCAAGAAATTGATTAGGCAAATATCACACCATCCATCCTGACTTTCTTGAAAGGTGCCTTCAACTCCAAAGTCAACTGTCACTTGAGAGCTTGTATCAGAAAATGCGTTTAGGACATCCATAACGTCAACTCTCTTTCGCAGTGTGGCGTCGGACAGTGCTGTGCGACCAAACTCATCTTGAGCCTCACAATCAACACCATCGCTTTTCAGTAGCGTGAGGACTGATTGTAAATGCCCACTGGATGTAGCAACATGTAGAGGTGTCCGGCCATATCGATCGGGCTGATGAATGTTCTTTATATTGACGGAAGTGAAGAGAGCAGTCAGATTGGTGAATTTGTTCTGCAATGCTGCATGGAAGAACACACTTCGACCATTGTTGTCCATGGTATTAATATCAGCTCCATTTTCTAGGAGGAGTTGAATCACTTCTGTGTCTCCATGGACTGCTGCGTAAATCAGAGGTGTGAGGCCAGATTTGTCTGGTCGGTGGATATTATTAATACTGGTCGAAGTAAAAAGAACGGTGAGATTGGCGAATTTGTTCTCCGATGCTGCATGAGAAAATACACTTCGACCATCATTATCCTCAGTATCAATATCGGCTCCAGTCTCTAGAAGGAGCTGAATCACTTCTGGACTCCCATAGGCTGCTGCGTAGCTTAGTGCGGTCAAACCCCAGCGGTCTTTGGTTTCCAATTGAACACCATCACACTTCAGTAGGGTAAGAACTAATTCTAAATAACCGTATCTTGCAGCAGTGTGTAGAGGTGTCTGGCCATCATCATCCTGAGTGCTAATATCAGCTCCATTGTCCAGAAGAAGTTGAGCCACTTCTGGATTCGCACAGGTTACTGCGTAACTAAGTGCGGTCCGACCCTGGTCGTCTTTGTTTTCCAACTTAACACCGCCGCTCTTTAGCAGGGCAAGGACTGACTTTGGATAATTGCAGTCTATAGCAGCATATAGAGGAGTTTGGCCATCATTATCCTTAGTGTTAATATCAGCTCCAGCCTCTACGAGGAGCTGAATCACTTCTGCCTCCCCAGAGGTTGCTGCGCAATGTAGTGCGGTCGGACCCTGCTCGCCTTTGAGTTCCAATTCAACACCCCAGCTCAGCAATACTTGTATTGCTGACGTTTTGCGTAAAATTGCGTGCATGAGTGGTGTCATACCAGAGTATTCGATGTTGTTGGCGTCAGCACCTTTCTCTAGGAGAAACTGAACTATTTCCTTATTCCCATACATTGCTGCGACTGAGAGAGAGGCATTCAGTTCGATATCTTGGGGATTGACCTCCAGGTCCCAATCAAGAAAGAGCTGCACCAAATTTAAATGATCACTTTGAGCGGCCTTAAATAACGGAGTGTGACCGCTTTCATCTTTTGCGTGTGCATTAAGCCCTTGTTTCAAAAGAACACGAGAAACCTTCTCTGATCCACGCTTGGCTGCGGCATGAAGTGGGAACAATCCATTGTTGTTACTAGACAGTAAGTCACTATTTGCTTCAAGCAGTAACTCCACTGCTTGTTCGTGGGATTCCTTAGTTGCCAGAAATATGGGCATATTGCCCCTCCTGTCTTTGATATTTGGATCTGCGCCATTTGCCAGAAGGAATTTTATAGCCTCTAGGCGGTTATGTTCTGCTGCCCATGACAAGGGGGTCTTTCCAACAGCATCTATGCAGTTCACTGAACTGCCAAGTGAAATCAACTTTTGGGCCACATCACGCAATTCAAAGTAAGCCGCAAGATGCAGGCCTGTAGTAAGCAGCGAGGTGTTTCCCGGATAGAGACTGTCCCCAAATTCGATAACGGGGGCGTCGTAAAGGGAATTCTCGTACGAAGACATGAACTGCATGCATGAGTTGACTTTCGGTGTGTCTAGCAGTAGCGCAATAATGGCATCCTCGCTCATAGCTTTTTCCACGCCGGCTTCGCTCTCTACGCTCTCTAGGATATGATTACCCCAGAAAGTAGCTGCATAATTTCCAAAAGGATAGTCAGCTAGGCGCGATACGAAATCTTCCTCTGTTTGGCAACTTCCTGTTTTGAAAGTATCGAATGACAGATATGCCACACAGATGCTGCCGATATCATAGTTTGCCTTTGGGAACCAAGTTGATTGATTGCGCTGAAAGAATTCCTGGGTCGTATAGTGGACAAGTCGAATGACATTGCTTTGTTCGTCAATTGTCACTAAGCCGGCACACACTGAGACCATGTCAATTAGATCGGGGAGATTATCCTCGTCAAAATCTGACTCGTCTATCTCGACCGCTAGTGCAGTTTGCAGCTCCACCGTAGTGAGCGGTCTCTTGGCGCAAGTAATCCATGCCAGGACTTGCATGGCCATTTCTGTTTGGTCAGATATCTGCCCTTGAATGCGTCTCATTGCATCGTTATAGGCTGAATCGTATTGCTTTGTGCTCGATGACATGCCTTTCAATGCCAATCTGATTGCTTTGGGGGATTTTTTGCCGACCAAAGAGTTGAGATAAAGCTGGGCAAGCAGAAACCTACGTTCTTGTTAGAAAACTAAAATTATTTTCTAGCAAGCAGTAAGTATTCACTCACATTCCATCCACAGCCATCGCTATCTCTGTCGAAATCTCTGTTTGCAATTCTGGATTGCGTAAAACAAATGCTGGGAGCATTGCCAGATTTCCCCGAAGATATCGCTTGACATCTCCCGTGCTAGCACGGATCTCAAGCGTTGGTCGTTTTTCAAACCTTTCAGTTATTCCAGGAATAAACCGGGAAGTAGCCAGAATGTTTATGTTGCAAGCATCTTGAAGTTCAAACATGGCATCCAAGAGTTTTGTTCGCGATCCATCATACATCCGACATTCATCCAAAGAGTCAATCACAATATAAACCTTTGGAAACTCGCTCGTCTTTGATAGCATTTGGATAATGGTCTTCGATAATTCGCCCATTGAAGGTCTGGTTCTTTTGGCCATATGTTCATCATACATCTCTTGGACGCTACTCGGCAACGATGGCTGCGACTGGGCCAATTGTTTCAAAAGGTTCGATAACAACGCAATAGCGCTTTCGTCATCATGTCTGTTGTAATTGCAGTAGAGATACGCGATAGCAGCCTCGCCTCCACTGCGAAATCGATCGTAGAGCTCATCAATCACAACGGACGCTAGAATTGTTTTCCCACCACCTGGAATGCCAGGACAGAAGAGCATTTGCTTTGAGCCAGAAATCCAATTTTTAAACTCGGGCGAGTCCAGGAACCACTGTCCAGTACCTTCTTCACGTCGAGCAATGTAATCGCTTTGCTGGGTGGCATAATTTGACGGTGAGAGCCAATCAAGCACTTCCTGGCGCGCTTCCTCCTCTTGATGCTGTACCAGTTTTTCCACACCGCGTTTTATAATTTGGCCATTGAATGCAGTCAGTAGTGCGATATTGGTGCCAATTCGAAGGCGAAGTTCTTGAATGTCGTTTGGTTCCCATTTCAGGCGTTTCCACGCCCGCTTCGCCATGTTTCTTTTTCCGTCTTTAGTACTCGATAGTTCTGTGTAGTCCTCGATTGTCTTTGAGATGTCTACGAGAACCTCGTGGCAACTCGTCGATAATTTGCGTAGGTCAGCCTGTTGCTGGCTGCTAAGCTCCTTCGCGGATATGTCGATCTCCACATCTTGCAGCACTAGCGAAAGGCTTCTGACTCTGTCAACGATTTTCTGTTAGTAAAGCAGGTATGAAAAAATGAAAGGTAAGCTCAAATTTAAGATCGACATACTCATCGGAAATATTCTTAAATTGAACAGGTGCTTCTACAAAACCCTTTCGAATCTCCTTGGCAAGCTCGATAACTGCGAGGAAATCCCCGATACCAAACCCAAAGCTCATTTTGGCAATTAGCACCGCCAATACAAAAGGTCAAATCAGAATGTTTGGAGCTCAGATGTGAAAATAAGATGTTGGAGATGCAAGATAAATTTCAGCCTCACTCAAAAGCGGGGTTGGGTCGGCTCCTAATCCGCCCCCAAGGTATTATTAGCCTCTACGCATTGAGTGCTAACGGCCCCAGGGCTGTCACTCTCTGGTCAAGTCCAATATCCTTCACATGGTTGAGAACATTAGTGCAAGTGTCGTTAAAATTTCCCTCTGTTGTTTCGAGCATGGGACTTGAATCTGCATATACTCGATGTGAATCTGCCCCTATTCTCAAGTTCATGTCATGAAGCACTACAAAATCGCGCAACAAAGGCACTCTGAACATTGGTCGCATCATGATAATTAAAGCATGTAAGGCAGAACGTTGGCTTCGAGATCAATTGCTGTATGTAGTCTCTGTTTCAATGCCGCAACAAACTCATCAATTGTCGAGAAATCCTCGAGCCGAGCGTCCCAGATCTCAAAACACGCCCTCTTGGTGTTGCCGAAGCGCCTTTTCTCCATGATATACTTGATTTCTTTCATAAAATCATTTGCGTACCACAGCTTGGGGAATGCAACACTGACTTCTTGCTCCAAGTTACGGGCAACACAACGGCATAGCCATGCTCTTACCAGTAAACTAAGCTTCAGCCATAATGTAATGTTGGGGTCGTTGCTTAAAAGCATCTCCTGATCAGGATCAACAAAATGATGAAGGTTCTGAGCCATGTTGACTAACCTCGGAAATCATTCAAGTGTGAAGAAGTAAGGGTGGTCGATAAGCAATGGCCTTCATGAACTGATGGATGAAGCTATCTAGAGGCAGAAGAATATACCAAATGAGAAAGATAGCAAAAAGTTCAAATATAGGCAGAGGGAGAGGGAGAGGGAGAGATGGATAATGGTGTTAGGGGAGAGGGATGAGGAAAACATCACCCTAGGACACATAGCTCTCTCTCTGACACGACATCCTAACAGCGTACTACTATAGGATATCTGACATTGACAAACACTTCTTTAGTGTAACTATTGATTCATCAATACATGGTCTAATAGGAAAAAAAGAAAAGAAAATATGTATCCGAAACCCCAAAGTCATTAACACATTACAGGTCAATTTAGACAGTAATCCGGTTAGCCCTCAAATACTCATAATCCGGCATAGACTCTCGAGTAGCCTTCTCAATCAGCGCAGCAACCTCGCCCCCCAAATTCAACACGCCACTTCGCAGCCTCCGCATCAATATCAACCGACGCAGGAGCCTTACACTTAACAACCCCAGTCGATGCCTCCAAAGTCGACAACATAACAGAAGCAGCAATCTTATGCATCGCCTGCTCCTCAGGATTCCCCGCATTCGCACTCTCCGGCGTCCAATTCTCAGACTTCTTGTCCGAGCCATTCCATTCAAACTGTATAGACGCGGTATCCAGGCCAGCCTTCTCACAGAATTTCATCACCGCACCGGGGTTATGAATAACATCATGTGCATCAATAACTAAAGGCGTGACAGGCTGATCCGGCTGCTCAAGACACCAATCGAACAATCTCCGCGTGCACTCCATGTTCATGTTAGTGATCGATGCGCCCCTCATACCATCGTCGTCCATGAACCCGGCTTCAGACAACTTCATCATAGCACGGTACATCGACGGCCAAGCTAGCGCCGGGTGACGGATGATGAAGGCTATCTGCCAGGTGCGCAGGTACTCATCCGGCATAATGGTCTTGTTATTGGCAGAGAATGTCTGCGTGGGTCCATAGCGTTCGGGCGTGCATACGCGGAACTCTTTCAGATCCTCGGTGTTTTCGGCGCCGTCAAAGGTGCTCATGAAGCCCGGGTTGACGAACCAGTAGGCGTGTTCTTTAGCGAACATTATCTTGTTCTCGGCGCGTGCGCGCGCAGAGTATTCTTCTAGCCCGTCGAAACCATTTTGGAGCGCGGCTTTGGTCTCGTTCGTTGCAGCTGTTGTCCAATGGTCCAATGGCCTGTCCAAGCGACCGCCTCGGACTGTTGTCATGAAGGCATCGTAGAAGAAGTAGCCGCCCTTTGGGCTGCTCACGACATTTGGTTGGTTGGGGATGTTTAGAATCTTTAAGAGGAGATTCGAGGCAGTGCGGGGTACACTGACGAGGAGGATTCGGCGTGGTTCCTTATTTTCAGTAGGGGTGGACATGGTTGCTTTGCTGATAGAAGGGGTCTGTATAGAATTTGGCGGCTGGATGGTAATTAAGCTTAACCCGTCGTGAGGCAATGGGCGTGAGAAGATATGTTTACATTCTGGAGTTAGATGGCGTAATCTTCATTAAATAGATCCGACTTCTGTCCAGTTTTAAAGATCAGCGGTTTATTGATTCGAAATTTTCCTAGGCCCCTTTTTCTGCGTCTAAGTGGGTCGAAGTATGTGACACTGCTACACGAAGTAGCGTTTATTGGAATTCGGTACTTTTGAAACTGTGGGATCGGACTACAAGTATAGTGCCACGATCGATTTTATCGCTGATCACTGATACCGAGGACCGGTCGACGAAGTTCTTTATTGGGCTGCAGTGATCGGCAGAAGAGATAGGTATGTTTCACACGCCTTCGTCTTGGACCGGGGCAACCGTGGGGTGATCTGTGATTAATCACCGATCGACATAAATGAGGGAAGGATCTTTTTGGATTGCCCCTGGAGGTGACCATACGTGCTTGGGTTATGCGTGCCAGCCTCTAATGGAGTAGACTTGTCATACATATATATTGGAATGAACGGGGAATTATGAGAATTGGAGTACCTATACTGGATGCGAGATATAATTATGACTCTCAAAGCTAGACTTGACAGCCCCGGGTGTCACGAAGGCCCGGTTGAGGAGAAGCACAGCCAGATATGGAGACCGGATAGTAATATAAGAACTGCCAATCACCTGTCTCTGACTTGCAAGGTATTTAGCAGACACTAAGCTAACAAACTAAAACAATGGATAGTTTCCGAAAGATGTAGTAAGCGAGACCCGAAAAGTTGCACTCAAACTTGGAACATACCCCTGTTTCACCTCGGAGGAAAATCAGAATCACTACTCTCCGCCTCCGCCTTGGCAAGACTTTGCTCCTTCGTGAGTGTCGGGTTGCGAATAACCAGGGCGAATGCAATCAAAGGGACTGTCAAGCAGATACCCGTGATACACAGCAGACGCTGTGTCTTCTGATAGGCGAGAATGACATTATCTCGGTCGGGCGTACCCACAGGGTTGACAGCAGCAAACGCAAGTGGCTGGGCGTAGACATACGCAGCGAGGGTTTCGTTGCCGAGTCTATGACTCAGTTCAGAAGGCAAGACTTGGTTCCAGATCGCGCCAGAGATGGTGTTTCCCAGTGCGCTACCAATGTTGTAGGCGGCGAGGAAGAGACCAGTGATGACAGCGAGATCTTTGGAATTGTTAGTCCTTGAGGTATTTATTTGGTAGGCCAAAGTCTGTTGGGGAATACTCACGTTCGTGCTTGGATGCAACCTGGATACTGGCTTGAGCTGGGTAGGGGAACATTCCACCAGCTGGGACTTTTGTCAGCTATATTCAATCAGTGATAGAGCGCAGGCGATAACTCACCAATACCCAGCAAAATTTGCGCGCCAATGACGCCGGAATGACTGGAGCTCGTAGCGCCACCGCGGAAATAGATGAGGATTCCGAACGCAACCATGAAGAGGAGGGTTCCAGCCACGATGAAGGGCTTCAACTGGCGAACCTTCATGACGATGAGCCCGAGAACAACGCCTGTGATAACGGAAACAAAACTGTAAAGAGATGTAATCCGAGTGGCACTACTGATTGATTCGTCGAAGCTGACGCATAGCACGGTGTATAGGAAATCACCTTGCAGATACCACGCTGCAAAGAAAAATGTTAAATCTACAATATGGATGGCATCCTGAAGGACGTACCTGTGTTGAGCATGATAGGGATTCCGAGGGCACCCCAGACAGCACGGTCTTGGAGAAGCTAGAGCCAAATCGAGTCAGTGAAAATCATGAATGTCGCATCGATTATTTGACTCACCTTGAATGGCAACATCGGGTGTTTGCAGGTCTTCTCCCAGAAAACCCAGACCGGGATGAGCAAAAAGCCTATAACAAGCGGCGCAATGACCTTTGCAGTCTTCCACTGTGCAGTCACGCCTCCAGCAAGAGTAAATGGAACAAGAATACAAGCCAGCATACCAATCAAGAGAATGTTGCCGACGATATCCAGATGCCAGAACAGTTCGACGGCCAATTTGCTCTTTCCTAGCGTCTGGAGAGAGCTCTTGTAAGAGTCAAGCGCCCCAGTCTTCTTTGTGCGTCGCTGGACGACAAAAAGGACTGCGATCAGAGGAAGAGCACACACGGGATAGATGATAGCAAACATGCCAATGCCCCATTGCCATGTGGTGGCTTTGAGAACGGCAGCAGTCAAGTCACCGCTGACCCAGGTGTTGATCTAGTTCCGGTGTGTTAATAAGTTGTGATTTGTGTGTGGAAGTATATGTAACACTCACAATAAACGGCAAGGCCGGGATATAGGAGAAAAGAAGACGAGATCTGCTGGAAGTCACATCGGCGATGAGGACTTCGACCAGAAGCATGATACTGGTGTATCCGATCTAGAAAATATTAGACACAGATCAAGACTGGAGATGCGCGCATATCTTACCTGATAGATAACAGCTCCCGCGGCGAAACCCTCCACACTCGTGGCACATGCTTCCACAATAGTACCCACAGTATAAAAGACGATTGAAACGAGGATGAGTTCCACTCTACCGAATACATCTGCAATCTTTGCCGCCGTAGGCTTTGTAATGAAAGGTCAGCTGCTGTGATACATTGTTGGTTTCTGGGTATCCATACCTGTGCAGCAGCAGCGATGACGGCGCGGAGAACATTGATGGTTGCAAGAAGACTATGTTGGCCATAACTCTGCGTAGCATAGGGCTGTCCAAAATATGAGTTAGTGATGCTATATTCTCGTCGACACGCCTTGACGTCAGAAATGCGAGATATGTACCTGGTAAGTATAGCGAACAGTTCCATCCAAGCCGTACACATAAGCGATCAGGAAAATAGCAAAAAACAGACAGATTCTATCGACCAAGCGAAAGTGTGAAGTAATAATTTCTATACGACGAACACCTGGACTACCTTCACCCAGCAGGCTGACGGGCGCATCAAGTGGGACGGCTTCATTGCGGGGGTTCTTCGAGTCTCCACCGATGGGATCGACGTTGACCTCTTTAACAAGCGACATGATAATCGTGCAGAATGAGATCTCACGACTTAGATCACAATGTAAAGAGAAGAAGAACACAGAGAGGAAAAAAGCAGAGAAAAAGTATTGCCAAGATAAGCCAAAAAAAAAGTCTCAGATAAAACCGCTCATTCAATCTTATCTGATGACCCCTAAAGAGGCGCTAGAAGCTTTTGTCTAAGAAATCAGCCACTCGCGCAGCTTAATTAAGCCCCCACTTTGCCTCTAGCCATGGCTAGTATTATTTTGACTTGGAGTCTTAGCTCTAGACTTGACCGGTGTCTGTTATAACTGAAAAATTTTCCAAAAGTTACGGGCATCCGTGCATATTGCATCGGACGACTTCCTCGGTGTAAGCCACTAGCGTTGCATTTACTAGTTGAACGTGGAGAGGTCACAGAATGACTAATATTGTCGCAATATACTGCTATAAGAATAGTGTCTAAAATATAAACAAAAAAGGAGCTATATTTCGGCAAGATGAAGAGAAAAAAAAATTCCAGATAATAGGTACCCATGAATGTCAAGGACGGCCCAGGAAACTAGGCACATGCCCAGGTGCTCCAACAGGTTGGGTTCATTATGTAAGCCTAATGCTTGGCCCCGGGAAACGTGGAAGCCTGAACACATGGCCATATCCGTTCTGGGCCCGCGTCTACTCGTTAACCTTTGTATGTGTGGGTAGTGGCCTGACCCATTATCAATCCAGTGTGATTCATCTTTCTAATTGGACTGTCTGGATCAGAAATTGTCCAATCATGGCCGGGCCTCTGCCAATATTTCCACTGGAGATTTGGTTTATGATATTCCAGTATCTTCGCGACGAAGAAAGCCCCCAGCATATCAGCAGGCTCGCACAGACATGTAAATATTTTCATCGAGAACTCGAACATGTCATATATCAGCCCGTCCGACTAAAGCGGATAGAGAATGCTCGCCGTTTCGCCAATACTGTGTCCAGTCGCCCAGACTTGGCAGCACTTGTTAAGGAAGTGCGACACTCCGATGATACCGGATTTTCAGACTTTGCTGGCTACTCTGTCCCTTTCTATCAAGCTCTCGTCAAATTGCAAAATCTGCAAACACTGGTCATGAGAAAAACTCTCCGCCCGAGTGGAGACCCCACGCCACAAGCAGCACTACAAGACCTGCTTACCGAAATTAACACCGATGCCCAGGATTCATTTGTGATGGAATCATGCTTGGAAGATTTTCTAATGCAGATGGAATCTCAAGGGTACCCTCTTGGCGATGCGTCAGATCCGTTCAGCCTTGGATTCGATCCTTGTGAAGAGGGCTTCTTGATCAACGCTTGGGCGGAAGGGCTGTTCAAGTACACATATTTTACCCGAAGCAACCTGAAAGACTTGATCCCCGCATTGCGAACATGTAAGTTTCCCGAGCTCAGGGCTTGTCGGAAGTATCTATTCTTACAAAAAAAAACAGGTCACATTGGAGCCAATTCGGATTTCGACCCCTACTTAGAGGGGGAGGCGAATCAGCCTATCGTCGAGTTCAATAACACAATTTTTACCCTCCGCCATTTAAAAAAGCTGTGCATCACTGGTGCTAGATTTCGGGAATATAATTTGCTAGGTGAAACAATCGAAATTCCTCGCACAGATCTGAAGGAGTTGCTGCTGCTCAACTGCCAAATCGACGCTGAAGAGTTGGAGCTCATCGTTCAGTATCCACGTGCTTTGGAACGGCTGACCATCAGACTTCCTGTGTCACTACAATCTGCGTACGAGGAAGATGATTATCTGTTCTTTTCTGAGGAGTTGAGCTTGCACCAATCTAAATCCTTAGAGTACTTAGATGTAGACATCTACGGTGGCGCAAGCTTTGGTCTCAGTCTCGATTCCTTCGATGTTCTCAAGGAAGTCATAGCCACGCATCATTCAATGCTTGGGAGTGAGGAGGGAGAGATAGTCCTCCCACATAATCTTGAGAGACTTACCATCCGATACGAGCAAGGCACTCCTCTACCACTCAGTTTCCTGCTCGAAGTACTTGAGGAAAAAATCCTTCCCAAACTACGCACTATTCTGTGTCAAATACCCGACAATATCTCCGAAGGTGTAACCAGCGACGACGTGTGCGCCGAAGTGGAGGTCTTCAAATCTAAATTCAAAGATGTAGGGGTGGACCTATCAGCAGAGCTCGTCTCGTATCCCCTCACCATGCCGAAATATGATCTCTGTCCCTGTGAAAACTTAGCCTTTTATCACCAATTTCCATTCCATCCCCGTATCGAGCCCCACCCAGAAATTATATAGGCAACCAATACAACCGTTACAGCTCCCAACCCAATACCTACTCATTGTAAACCTACTTCTGTATGATCTCTTTAATGGTTATGACCATTATGATACCGACCATCCTTATTCGTATCGCATACGCCCATATCATTCTTCCCTGATTCCGATGACTATTGACCTACTCCAAGATTAGTAGCCGGGTACTAGGCTGGTGAACATCTTCCTTGGTCTAGTGGTTATGATTTTCGCTAGTCATTACTGATGAACGCGGAAGACCGAGGTTCGATTCCTCGAGGGAGCGATTTCTTTTTTGTATTTGGGGGCTTTTTCCTTTTTGGTCTAGACTTGGGTGGTTAGTTCTTTTTTGCGGGTGAATTTTGTAAATTGTTCAAAAAATTTGTGGACAACATGTGAACATTGGTTGCATAAAGTCTTAGGTCTTAGATTGAAGGATATACACTCGAAGACAATAAATAGGTATTTCATAGAAGAGAAGAGAAAGGGAGTAAGATGAGGAAGATCAATCTAGTAAAGATGATATTCCATCCATGGATATCATAAAGCACTTACCATCTGTAGAAACCAATGAGTCAATTATCATAACATAACAAGGAAACGAAAGACTTACACAAAAGTGTTTCCAGTGTTGTTTTTGCTGTGGTCGAATTTTATCATTGTTCAGGAATACATCTCCGTTTTGGGGGTACATGTTCTTTGCTTTTTCCCCTCGGTGCCTATTTGCCCTTGTTGTTGTTTTCTCCTGTATTTTATCTTGGATCTTGAATACTTGGGCTTATGAGTTCTGGTAGTCTTTTCATATATCTTCTCTGAAATGATTCTCCGTTTTAGATGTTTCTTCCTTGAATGACGGCATAGTTGGCATCTACGAGAAATCGACTATAAAATATAGGATAGGACATCGGTGGTAAAATTTTCGTAAATGTGCAAAATGTGTCTTCTATGTATAGGATTTGATTACCCCCTCTGTGAGGACATGCATAGCTATCAAAGTCGTGACTTGAAAGAAGCCTGCAGTCCAGCCATCAAAGACGAGCTATCCTGGGTGAGCTGATTCATCTCAGGATCATAAAGCGACTCTACCTCAACAGTCGCCCTGATACGCTTTCCAAAATACTCAATCTCCACTGCCTCGCCTTCGCCCACACCCCCAGGAAGCCAGGCGTAGGCGATTGGCCTGCCAATCGTGTACCCAAACGCCGCGGTCGTTACATACCCAATCGCCTTTCCATTGTAGAACACAGGCTCCTTACCAAGAATCATGGAGCGACCATCCTTGACAGTCAAAGCTCTCAGTCGCCGGGAAGGTACCTGGGTAGAAAGGCGTTGGAGAGCCGCTTTGCCAACAAAGTCATCTTTCTTGTTTGCGTCCACAGCAAAGGAAACACCAGCTTCGAACGGATTGTGCTCTGTCGTCATATCCACGCCGTATGTCCGGTATCCCTTCTCGAGGCGCATTGAGTTGAACGCACTGCGGCCTCCAGCAATGAGTCCGTGCAGCTTTCCAGCTTGCCAGATTGTGTCCCATAGCCGCCGGCCGTACTCAGCACTGGTTTGAATTTCCCAGCCTAGTTCGCCGACGTAGGACTTTCGGATCATTGTAACTGGGATACCGGCGAGAACTACTTTCTTCAGACTGAAGTAGGAAAAACTCTTGTTGGAAAGGTCGATGTTGCTGATTCCAGTAATAACATCCCGAGCTCGAGGACCCCATAGTCCGATGCAGCATGTGCTGCCTGTAATATCGCGGACTTGGATCCATTTTCCGGGAGTATTCTGTTCCTGTACTCGAGCTTCTCTGGTAAGATACGCAAGATCTGTCGCAGTGTTTGCTCCAATCTGGAACACATTATCTTTAAGTCGTAGTACAAAAATATCACCCCGAATGCCGCCGTGGTTATTCAAGAGGAGAGTATACGTAACGGTCCCTGGTTTGGTAGTGATATCACTCGTAGTCAGCCGCTGAAGCAAACAAACTGCCCCAGGACCGCACACTTCGAACCGATGGAAAGCAGTCATATCAAACATAGCAACAGCATTACGCGTCTTCCACGCCTCAACAGCAGATATAGGAGAATGAAGCTGTGCTGACCAGGGATCCCGATCAACAGGCTTCCATGATGGCGGGAGGGACTTGACCAGATCTTTGTTCGCCTCATACCACCACGGTCGCTCCCAGCCTCCAGTCTCGAGGAAGAATGCCCCCAGCTCCTGCTGGCGGAAGTAGAATGGACTAACACGCAAATTGCGGGGCGAGGCCCGCTGCTGGAGCGGATGGATAATGTCATATATCTCAACAAAGTTCTGCTGTGAGGTCTCGCTCACGTAGTCTCGATTAACTTGGACTTCTTCGAAGCGGGATAGCTCGCATTCGGACACGTCGATGTCTGATCGGCCGGTTGTGAGTATTTGAGCTAGAGCTCGGGCGATGCCAGCTGAGTGTGTAACCCATACGGCCTCGGCTACGTAGAAGCCGTCAAGGTGGGATGGCTGGCCGAGGATTGGACCACCGTCGGGTGTGAAGGAAAAGATGCCATTGAAGCCATCTGCGATCTCTGTGTCCTGAAGAGTGGGAAGAAGTTTTTGAGATTCTTTCCAAGCTGGGTTGAAGTCTTCGGCTGTGAAATCGAGACGGGAGGGCATATTTTGTTCATCAACATCTTTGGGGGTGAGCCCTAGTGATGACGCAACGACGGGCATTGGACGGTGTCCGTAGTATCCAATACCGTACTGTCCACCATGTTCACGGTAGTAAAGGCCCTTATCCTGGTGCCGGAGGATTGGGAGTTCGGCATTCATTCCATTGGGCAAAGTGTTAATATCTCGCCCAGCGAGAGCTGGTACTGCTGTGGACTTTGCATATTGGTGCGCCAGTGGGAGCAAAGGAATTTCTACACCGACCATGGCACCCAATTCCACACCCCAGAACCCAGCGCAAGAGATAACAATATCTGCCTGGATAGTGCCAGTTGAAGTAGTGACCCCTGTGACATGCCGGCCATCCAGTTCAATTCCTGTCACGGGAGTATGACCCAGATAGCGAACACCGGCCTTGCTTGTCCGTTCAATCAGCAGCTGTGTTGCTCGGGCTGCTAGTGCGAGACCATCGCTTGGGATATGCAGACCGCCCAAAACAATATTTTTGTTCAGATGCGGATATATCTTGAGGAACTCCTCAGCACTGAGTAGCCGGGCCTCGATTCCCCATGATGAGGCGTATCCATGTTTCCGCTTCAGATCCTCCAGGCGTGCGGGGGTGGTTGCTACTTCGAGACCGCCCACTTGATTGAAGCATTTGTGTCCGTCCTTCTCTAACGATAGAAGCTTCTCGACTGTGTATCGAGCGAGGTGCGTCATTGTCTTAGAGGGGTTTGTCTGAAATACGAGTCCGGGGGCATGTGAGGTCGATCCGCCCGGCATGTGCAACGGGCCCTGCTCAACGACGGTGATATTATTCCATCCTCGGGAGACCAGCTCATCGGCGAGGTTAGTACCCACGATACCGGCTCCAATGATGACGACGCGTTGTGAAAGGGACATTATTATATGATAGTGAATATGATACACCCGTTAGAACGCGGCAGGCACCTGTTCTATTTATATATTCACATAATTGAAGAGTGATATAATGTGTAACATTGTCGTACACATCTCTGCGCACCCCGCAAAGTCGTGGGACAATTATATTGTGTGTCTTGAGGGTGAAGATAAAGATATTACGCCCCGCACGGGTTCCGGCGATGTAAAGCCGAGAATGCTAGTAATTAACACGGGTGTTATTCCACGAGAATCTAGATGGAGGGGTATATCCTTGCCTGCCCCACAGTTATATAGATAGTCAAGCTTGTCAGGTCAATTATAATCGGCCGACTTGCTTTATATGTGGCGAGTTTGCGTTGGGGGATAACATTTCCTTTTCGGGTCACGGGCCGTCAACAAATGTGCGTTTCGGCTTTGAACCACTTCATATTTGATCGTTCGGTTGAAAAATCAAGAAATGACCTCAAGTACGTGAAAATACTGGTCTAACATTGGAAAGTACTCTGTACATATTGGCTAAATACGACTACTCTCTTTATATTATTGCCACTAACTACCTTAGGCTACGTCCACGACCTTAGACCAATCATACTTTCTAGTAGAGAATGCTCTTTTTTTTTGCAGGGCTTAAGGGAAGCTATTCCTAGTAACGAATTAGTCAGTTGGCTATCCTGTTCGCCATGCTCAATGGAAAACTTTGTCTAGTAGCAAATTGATTCCTCTTCGACCATGTACTTGGGTTTCTCAAATACCTAATTGTAGTGAGCATTAATCATATATTGAAATCCAATAAAACAGATAAAACAGATAAAAGATGAAATATCGGCGAGTGTGGTATCAGTTGGTGGACATCCTAGCTTAGCATGTAGGTACTTTTGTTCTTTGCTTCGAAGATTCATCAGGCAGTTAGGGGGTCGAAAATAACGAACAATATACACTTTGTACATAGCATAAAACCAACTATATCATTTAACACTCATCTAAAAACAATAAGTACTCGATAAGGCCTAGCCACTAGTACCAGCGAGCTAGGCTCAGCATAGAGACGCCCAAGTCACATCGTCCTCTTCGCATATGCGATGGAGAGTACGATATTAACCTCAAAGAAGGGGCACGCATTCACATCATCGAGAGGTCGGCGATAAGTGGCCCAGTTACAAACTCCAAAGATGTCCGCACTATAGATGTAAACCTCTGCAGTGTAAATCTAGGCCAAAGGTCAAGATTTTGATTGTTCTGCTTGATCTTTGTTTCACTGACAATATCCAGGTTAATGAAATGTCCCTTCTGGGGAGGACTCTATACTTTATAGAAGTGGGCAAAGCAGTATAGAGTGGGTCCTAGTATTTACTAGTATTTACTAGTAGATCTTAGTTATATAGTCGTTACTACTCCGTAGAGGATCCTAGATGTAGCCACTGGTAACAAACTCAGGTATGACCTGACAATTTACCTCGCCAGGTCACCAGTAGGGAACACTTTCAACATACTATGTAGTAATTACTAGTAAATGCTTATCAGTAATTACCATGACCTGGTGAACCCGCTAAGCATATTCCGACATCATGAACCAAAATGGTGCAATCCCCATTCTATGGCCTCTGATTGGTCAATATGAGAAACGGATGCAGGGGTGTTTTCAATGGCGTAGAATAAACAAATAAAGTATATTTAGTGTGAAATATAAAATGTAAGCTTAATATCTCTATCTATATTCTACCAACCTTTATGAGGACTCAATGGCATCCAAAGAGTCAACCCCATCCTCTGCGGGGCAGACGTTTGTTCGGATAGAGCCGACCCCCGGGGCCGTGGGGAACCCAGGAACAATCCCTGTCGGACTTTCACTCTTCAAAACCCCCTCTTGAGAACAGCCATGCTCTCATTTGCCATTCCCGACCATCTCACATCATGACCGAACCTGGTAATCCTCCTGCTCCCGATGAGCCTCCCAACGCAATCCTGACCGACTCCCGCCCGACACCCGCTCACGACACCCGCAATGACGATCGGCATGCATTAGAGCTCCATTCGATCCAAACGCACGAAGACAATGAGCTAGATTACTCCAGCCCGTCGGCTTCGTCTGGCGATGAGCATCACATGCCCATGCGTCGGACTCCATCTCGAGCCGATTCCCGCCGCGCACGCAAAGACCGCAAGGGCACCTGGGGTTGGATTTGTCGCTTCTGGAGTCGAAATGTTACCCTGACCGTGCCGCAGAAAAGCAATCGAGATTACTTTGGTACGTTGTGCTCTCGATACGCTGTTGGCAATTTAATTGACAGCATTACAGCCTTGGAAAGGACATTTCTTGCGTATATTCGCACGTCCACGGTTGTCGCTATGCAAGGGGTACTCGTTGCTCAACTTTTCCGTCTACAACGGTCGCTGGTGGAAGTCGATCGCCTGTCGTTTCACGAAGTCGGTATCCCGCTCTCGGTTGCCTGTCACTGTGCGGCTGTTATCATCGCCCTGATAGGCGCGATTCGATTTTGGAGACAACAAAATGCCATTTCTCGTGGGAAGATCTATGCCGGAGGATGGGAGTTGAACTCGGTGGGGATTTTATTACTTGCTGTAAGTTCCCCAGGGCCCTCTAGGACGATGCTCGACCTCCGAATTCTGACCAAATCCCTGCGCCCAGGTCATTTTGGCAACCTTGATTCTTACGGTTATCATCTTGATCCAAATCAATTTGAGTGCCAGTGCGCTTCCTACTCGAATATCATGGTCGTGAAATCTCGCCTATAATTTTGTCACCCTGGCCATATACACATTTACACGGCACAGGAAAAGTTCACCAAGAATGGCTCTCTCATCAAGTATATAATTATGATTCTATTTTATAATACATGTCTTTAACGTCTATTCCCGATCAAAGCTGTCTCTCTTAGTGGTAGATCACGCTCTCTGTTTTATCTCGAAGAATCCCACTCAAATGAACATTCACATCAGCTAAACGAGCATACCACTTCTCTAGGAAAGTCGCATACTGAGCTAGCTATCCCACAAGACCTCAATCTGCTTCCAAAGTGGCCGCATGTGTCTCAATAGCATGGGAATAGATCCCTGATAGACATCACACGGAGCTCGTGCAATGATGACCCTAGCATATGGATAATCTCCCACGCCACTACACGCTCCTGTGGCCTTTGATCCTCCTTGCCTCAGGTGGTAGAGAACGAAGCTGCTATTTGTTCGTCGAGGGGATCGAATAAGACGATGTGAAGTAGGCAATTTGGGTGATCGACGCGACGGCTCGGTTGTTGAATGGGCTGTTCGCTGCCCTCTCGCTCTGGCCGCTGGTGCTTTTCCAGCCAGCGTGGTCTGGCTGGATGGTAGTGACTCACTGGGTCTCGATATCCCACTGGTGAGGGAATTTGATTTGTAGTCTAAATATGTAAGCTATCCATCCCTATATATATAAACCCAGATAGGTAGCTAATATTCACATGCACTTCAACGTCTGGGAACTTGAGTGATAAGTTCAAAGTGAAGAGTAATCTAAAGGTGAAGTGAGAGAATGGCGAATGAAATTAGAGTGCAGGAGAGCAAATGAGCCAAAGGTCAGCGAGACGCGAGGCCTGTTGTATAAAATGATGTTTGGTCCCTTCTCCCAGTCTTTTCTTCTCTCCATCTTTTCCTCTCTCTATCTTTTCCTCTCCCCATCCTCTACTCTCTTCACATTTCCTTCCCATACCATTTCTTAACCCATCTTTTCAAGTCCTAAAACATCAACCTTCATCATTACATCCCACCATGGCTGACAATATTCAGCCCATTGTAAGTGAAATTCACTGGCTGTTGATGGCTGCATTTCCCATAGGAGATGCCTCGTCTCGCCATTCCCTACTCTGAAAACCTAAAAGCAACCCACCTGGCCCTACCACTCCTGAGCATCGTTGCCCACACTCTTGCCATGATTGTTTCATACTCATCATGAGCTAACGTCTAATAGTTCTTCTGCAAGCATTGCGAGGTTTTTGGACATGAGGTTGTCCACTGTCATCGTCTTTTCGAAGACTTGACGAGCTTTGCCAAAACCGTTGGCGTTGAAACTGGATATCCCACCCAGGGCTCTGTGAGAATCTGCGATTTACCCAATAACAGAAGGACGTACTGATAACTAGTCTCCTATAAAGATCTCCAGCCGTGTTGCCCACTGGGGCAAAAAAAAGGAAGGTATGTTTGAAAAGATCATTTGGAGCTAAGACCAATATCATTACGTTCCCAGCCTCAACCCCTTCACTGAAGGTTCAACTGCTTTTATACCTACATAGCCGGATTGCCCTAGTCCAGCTCTAGGTTATAATGCTTTGGCCATCCCTAATTTATCCCCCTATCAATAAACACAGAACCCCAATCTTATCACAAGCTTATAACATTCAACTAGCTTCGAATTCTGCTTCTTCCACCGCCACATTTGGAGTCCCTGGCCAGGCCAACGGCACCTCGTCCACCGATGCTACAAATCTGAATTCGCTTGAAGCGCAAATGCTAGCCATTTGCCTAGAACAGCATCGGATGCACTGGCTGTGGTGTCACAATTTATGGGCCTCTGTTTTGATGTATCAGGACCCCTGGCAGCCACAGGAGGATGCCAATGCCAATGGCAGCCACGAGGAGCGCTAGGAACAGAGCAATCGCCACCGTGCTGGGTGCAATCGCCGCCGTGCTGAGTGGCGAAGCTGAGCAAGGCCCAAGAACGAGCAAATTATGCAGATTACAATAGGACTTGAATTGATTTGGGTTAGGACAATTCAGTTCCTAAGATAGTGGACTTTTGGAGCCTTATGGCACCCCTTGATCACATAAGGACATATCTTGTATGGGAAATTACTCCAAGAGCAATTTCCCGTGAAAATAAAACACACCAGGACACACTCTGATATCAACAGGCATTAAAAAGAGGAATAAGGCCATGGTCTAACCTACTCAACTACGTCGACCCCTATTAATTGATATTTATTCCTTTGTCTCAGCTCCAATTTCGGGTCCTTGAAGATCGGTTGGACCGAGCCGCTGAAGAGCTAGGACTGGTGGAGGGCAAGAAACTGTCCCTGGAAACTTGGAAGAAGAACCTGGCAAATACAGGAAAGACTTGCAGCAACTGCGGTAGATAGTCACTGCAACTGAGTACAACGTGCGCAGACAAGAACGACAGGTGCAGAGGACCGAATGAAAGGCCTCCTAAGGAATTTGGAAAGACTGCATATCGTGGCTATGCTAAACACAAGGGCCATCCAGGTCCAGACTCGCAGTGCACTGATTGCTGAGTCTAAGACCAACCCTGTAGGTATTGCATGCCACCATCTCTTAGGACGCCAGGAACTAGGCTCCCAGGGACATGTATTCGATCAACCCCACGAACCAGCAAGGGCAAAGAACATGACCCGGGACCGGTCCCTTCTGATTCCAAATTTCATGGGGACCTGCACTCCGGCGATGATGATTCCAGCTACCCTTCAATATCGAGTGCGATATCCTTGGATAGTTGCATGTCACGGGCCGTGTCACCTATGGAACTCATCGACGCCCAACCGCACCACTCAGCGATCGAAGAATGTCCTAGCGATGACCATATTCTATTTGACTAATTTCATCTTTGTACGAGATATAACTTTCTATCGACTCTCAAGTCCCTGGTATGTCCTCGCCACCCACCCAAGCAATTATAAAGCCATATCCGACAGAGATACATGAATACGAACTGAAATATCCTAAGTTTCTTTTAGATATGCTGCCAGGTCAGAGGATACGAAGTCATGAACTGCCACGCTATGTATCAGTACCTTGGAAGTATCACCACTGCTGCGAGAATAGAAACAGGAAGGGCTGGCTAGGGCACAGTGAGGACTCTACTGTGTAAAATAATAAGTAAACAACATGCCGATTTATGGTTTCTAATACAGAATCCTTCTACTATCAAGAAGTTCTGTCGCGGGCCCCACTGAGGCTAGGCCAAGAGAAGTAAGTCTCAAACAACCACCCAGAGCCGGCCATAATGTACAAAAGACTGATACATAGTAGGTACCGCCTGTTCAATACTCACAGAGCCCTGCATCGTAAGCGCACCACTCCTCTATCCACAACTTTTGTATCTTCCACCAGAGCCTGAACCTCCTTTATACCCGCAGAGTTGGATCAATCTATTCCAGCTCCAAGCCACGCATGCCCATTTCCGTCAAAATACAGTCTGTTGTTAACCAGCATAATTAGCATATCCTGTCAAGCAAATATCCCAATATGAAAGCAGCTTCTGGCCCTGCAGCATACCTTCCTATCTCGAGTGTCCCTGCTCATGACACCACCCGTCCCTGGTTTCACAGCACCAACCTCATTCCGCATGATGTTCAAATCCTAGACATATGGTTGGAGCAATCTTATTTATTCTGGATCTGGTGCTGTACTCTATGGGAAGAGTGTATGATCGATGAACTACCTTTCCAACCAGAGTAGGGCGGGACGATTCGCAACAAAAGTCTGGAGAACAATATTACTTAGTCGGAGGATGGGCTAGTGCTATCTTAGGCTTAATATTCTAAGTGCATGAATTCAACACAACTTGAGCCGGGTGTTATTCTTAAGAAATCCTCCGTTTTATTCAAGTACCTTTATAGACATAGCTCTCGAAGTAATTCCTTGTGACTAGTGTCCAGTAAGGAATCCCCACCAAATATAACTAATTACATGCGTGTATATTGATAGGAGATGAGATGATCTTGTTGGTAAAACTAATCATGTACCTACCTTATGTGGCCCATCATAGTTTAATTATTAGCAATCCTTTTACTATCCTCATCATTCCTTCTCTATAGCCCTGACCCCGTGCTCTTCGGAATCTAGAGACCGTCTGGGTGAGGATTCTATTTATTTACCCAACTTGCCGTTCTAAATATGATTTAGAACTTCCTACATAAGTATTTATATACTTCAAAGTGAATAGTAAGCTAAAGGTAAAGTGAGAGAATGGTAAATGAACTCGGAATGTAGGAGAAATGAGCCAAAGGTCAGCGAGGTGCGAGAAATGTTGTATGAAATGGCGTTTGATCCCTTCTCTCAGTCTTTTCTTCTCCATATCCTTTGCTCTCTTCAGCCTTCTTCATTTTCTCTTCACACTGTTTCTCACCCTATCTCTTCAAGTTATCACTACATCCTACCATGGCGGTACATACTCAACCCCCTGTAAGTGAAAGTTTCTGGCTGTTGATAGCTGCGTCTCCTATAGGTCTTCTCATAATCCCCTACCTTTGAAGCCCGATCCATAAATCCCCACCATTATCACAATCTTTAGTCACAAAACAAACCACCACGGGTGTTTTTACCCCTAGCATGTTTGACTTCCACCGTTTTAGCTATCATGAACTAACGTATCATAGGATTTTTGCAAGCATTGTGAAGTGGCTGGACACAACGTCGTTCACTGCCATCTTTTTTTCCAGGACTTGACCAACTTTGCCAACACTGTTGGTATTGAAACTGGGTATACCACCCAGAGCTCGGTAAGAACTCTACCATATATCCGATAACAGAACGACATACTGATATATAGGCTCTTATGTATCAGACTTCCAGTATCCAGAAACCCTACCGTGTTGCCCACTGGGGCAAAGGAAAGAAGGGTCCGTTTTGAGCAGCTGTTTGGAGCTAACAACAATACCCTCGCATTCATAGCCTCGGCCCCTTCACCGAAGATTCAACTACTTTCATACCCAGAGCACTGGATTTCCCTAGTCCAGCTCTAGGGCATACATGACTCAGTTGTCCTGAATTTATCTTCCTATAAAACCACACTGATCTCAAATCTTGTCGGGCCAAGCTTCTAACATTGGACTAGCTTCCAACAATGCTTCTTTTGCCGCCAATTTCGGAGTCGCCGGTCAAGGAAATGGCACCTCCTTGAACCTTGGGGCAAATTTGAATCCGATTGAAGCCGAAACGCTGGCTAGATACTTAGAGCACTATCAAATCCACTGGCTATGGTGTCGTGAGCTATGGGCCTATTTTTTGATGCATCAGCAGCCAGAGGGCGCCAATAGTGGAAAAGGCGAGCACCGGGACGAAGACGGTCGCAGTGGGCCTTAAACAGACTCGCGGCCATTATGCGGGTCACCTCGAGACTGAGACTGAGCCAGGGACCACGAGATTCAGACTAGGCGAGGAAGAACTGGGGGGGAAGATACCGTTCAGTTAGCGAGGTTCAGTTAATGAGACATCACAATTTTTGAGCTTATAAGCCCTTCCTTACAGAAGAACACACATCGCATCATAAGTCGATCCATTCCCTCCAGTGTTCTAAAGATCCTTGTAGAAGAAGACCCACGATGAAAATTCTCTTACCACTTCGATTGTTCACAGAGGTAAGCGCACTACTCCTACATTCACAACTCCAACCTCTTCCACCAGAGCCTGAACCACCCTAATACCCGCGGAATTGGACCAATTATTTATGTTCAGTTGCCGCGGAAATAAAACCTGTTGTAAACCAGCATCGTTTGCATATCACGTCAAGCAAGTATTCTAATATTAAAGCAGCTTCCGCCCCTACAGCGTACCTTGCTATCTCAAGTCTCCCTACCCAGGGGTTCACCCACCCACCTCTGATTTTACAGCACTGATCTCAGTTCGCATGAGGCTCCAATGCTAGATATATCATTGGAGTAGTCTCATTTGTCTATATATGGTGCTGTGTCCTATGGAAACAGGGTGTAGTCGATGAGTTGCCTTTCCAACCAGAGTAGGGTAGGAGCGCTTAGCAAAAAGAAAATCCTGTCTATATTATATATATAACGACAAGTTGAGTAAATCAAATATAACCATCACCAACAAGGTCTTCAGATTCCGAAGGGTTTGGAATGAAAACCGTAGAGAAGGAATAATGAGGTAGTAGGTAGAAGGATTGATAATGATTAAACTACAGTGCGCCACATATATATATGTACATAGTATGTGGGTAGTTACATGATTGTGTTTAGCACTTATCAAGATCATCTTAGTACATGAGTTTGCATCTACTTCGATAGATCCTCACTACACCATGACTATCTCCAGAAGTGATTAAGCGCTGGATATACTAGGGATATATATATACGAGTCAACATATCGCAGTTGTTGTGCAAACGCTGCGATGAAGGCGGTGGTAACTCTGTCTATACCCATCGTCTTTTTCAAGATGCGACTAGCTTCGATACAACCTCAGCCCTCAGTGAGACCTCTACCGTGCAATACATTAATGAAGACAACAGCTTAACATTTCATGCTTGATATAGCAGCCATCTACTATGAGGAAGGCCTATCACGTTTTGCGCCAGAGCCAGGCTAAGAAGAAGGGGGTTGGAACAACTATGTGCACCCAAGTCGACGACAACATACAAAACCTACCGCATGTGGCAGAAGATCCAGGTTCATATACTCTCACCAAATCTGAATGCAATCGAGTCATATATACTGGCCACCTTTTTGAAATAACTTCTATGCCACTGGTTGTGGTGTCGCGATTCATGGCGCGTTCCTTCATGTATGACGTGCCCTGACAGCCGGAGCAGGGGCTCCAGCAATGGCCATGGCGAGCGTCAGGGCCAGAGCGGTCGCAGCGGTGCTCATTGAGGGAGTTGTGGTATAATAGAGCAAGAACAATCGAATCAATGAACGAATCGCCTATACGATCCAGATTGAGTGGCCATTGAATTAGTGAGACAGCGGAATTTTCCGCCATTACCGCTATGCCATTCGTGATAGAAAGATGCTTCTCGCGACAGAATTTACTCTTAGTAGGTCCGCTGTTACGAAAATATCAAGATTTGCGAACAAAGGACCACCATCCCTGGCACACGCTGCTTCCTCAAACCAGGAGAATCAAGATAAAGCCCGAACTTGGATGCTAGATGGCGACAGTAATGAGACCGTCACCCTATTTGAAGCCCGACTTCTACGAATACCATGAGTACAGAAACAAGGACTGAAAATACACCTACTTGAAAGCCAATGGAGGACTACAAGTCTGCCAAGGGCAGGGAAAGGTTCCGGTCAACATCAATGAGGGAAATAAGAGGTACCAAAACTTTCCCAAACAAAGCTTTTCTTAGTATCAACATCGCAAGATGAAGTTCTACAAATATCCTTACGGACGGCGCTCTACAAACAGTTGGTCGCCAACGAAGATGAGCAGTGAAAATAAGACATGCCCAGGTCGAGAAGGATAGGCTTGACTCGACGATATACAATCTCTCTCTCTCAGCCGCTAATATCACAAGAGCCGCTCAAGATAAGCGCACAATATCCTTGCGTTCAGAATTCAGCCCTATCCTCCATAGCTGCGCCAAATTCTAACCTAATTGAAGTCATAAATGCGCCTTTAGCCCGAAACGGATCTAGAGAATAGACAACGAGGCTATGTGGCCAAAGTCTAATAAATAGTCCAAAAATATGAATTTGAAGGGAGAGAGTGATTGAGGTCAGAAGGGAAAGAGCCAAAAGCTAGAGAGACGAGAGAGACTTGAAATCTCAAATTCTTTCTCACTCCCACCTCTCACCTCACTTCTTCCCATCCTTTCCCATCCTCCATCTTTATTTCTTTTTCTTCCCTTCTATCTCTCAGCTATCCGATTCTTTCAACTTTCGTTGCCATCCTTGGGTATGGCTAACCCTATTCCCGTTTATGTCCCTGAGATTGTAAGTGAGAAGCTTGAATGACTTTTTCCTTCCTGTGCATGGATTTTGCGCTGCATTTGCAAGGTCTAATCCTTCAATATCGTGTATCATTATCCATACTCTAAAGCCTCTACCCTCCGCATGCCCACAAACTGTTCTTGATGGGACTTCCACTGTTTTTCGTGGATCTGAAGCTGCTGTTTGAGATAAGCTCTCTGTTGCTTGAGTTCAGAGTTCAGTTGCCTATCTCTCAACGAATTCTCAGCGAAAATCAGACGCACTCCCCTATGCGTGTACTCACACACCTCTTTGTCATCGCAATCTACCCACTCAACAGCAAAACTGCCGTCAAGGATATAAGAATGAATATGAACTGATTTATCATAGGAGCGGTGCAAGCACTGCGAAGTTGAAGGCCACTCGGTCATTGACTGTTCTACTCTCTACGAAGATCTCACCAACTTCCGTATGGCCCTCCAAGCGGGCCAAGGCCCGGTAAGTACTTTGCTATACAATCCATACCGAGCGAAGATTTTAATATAAAGCCTTTGGTATAACAGGCCGCTGACCCCAAGGATATCTACCCAGTTGCTCGCTGGGGAAAGAGTAAGAAGAGAGCCAAGGGTATGTTATATCTCTTACCTCACACCATAGCTGTTATATACTGTGAAGCGGATATATTAACATCTCAATAGCCTACGGCCCTGTTATACTTCCCCATGGTACGCCGTACTACCCGTCGACCTACGGCATAAATCCCAATGACTCCGAGGCCTACGCGCTGGAAAACTACGTCCAGCTACAGCAAGCCCATTCGCTGTGGTACCACGCGTACTGGTCACGTCACGCGTACTTGCTGAGTCTTCTAGAAGACGAATTGCGCCGACAGCACCAGTAGGGCCTCGACGCAAGTGACACCCAGCGATAAAAAGACACAATATGAGGAAAGGATAGCAACCGGGTCACATTAAACTATTCTGGTGGCTTTTAGTCTCTGTAAGGCAGGGATAACGTTATGCTGGGATGGATCGCAAATATTTGTCTTTTATGCTCCCAGTCATACAATCAGACAAGCCTCAGATGAGGAATTATCAGCAGCTCCTTGGTGATATTCGGATCCAACATATAGATATTTTCAATTGTAGTCAATATGGCCCATAGTCGAACTCTACAGAGATTATACATCATACCAAGAGTCTATGATGTCCGATTATCAATTTGAAGTGAGAGAATAGTAATTAAAATGAGAAGAGAGATGGGATCCTCTGTCCTCAATCCTCGTCTACTCTTATAGCCTCACGGCGACAAATCTTTTCTTCTCTTTACACATGCCCCCTTCTGTCTCCCTTTCTTCTCACCTTCCTTCTTCTCCCCACAAAGTCGAATATCCACAACTCCCACAACCTGACCTACTATCAAGGCATCCTTTCGATTTGAGCTTTCATATTTCTCTTCAACTATGGCTGAGGATAGCAAGCACCCAGTAAGTGAATCTTCTCGTCTGAGCTCCCCAACCCACTACACCCTCAACAAGCTCAACAAGATCGCCTGCTTCGTTGTTTTCTTTACCATGTGATCATAGGTCGAACGACGTGTAGAGATGTGTCAAAGGAGGATATGAAAACTCACCAAACACGCCATCATTCTACATTTTCACTGCAATATCATTCTCTGCTATTTTACCCAAGAGTCTATCACACTATATTCGCATATTCGACCATCCCCTCTGGTTTACGAAAACTCGTCAACTTTCAACACAAGCCATTAAAAATATCAAAATTGTTATACAGTGGGATCCATTTGAGGAGCAAAAAGCAAGGCTTGGATCTTCCACCCTCGGAAGACGGACGATACTCATTTCCAGACCCCAAACACATCACCTGCTTCGGCCAAGTCAGGACATTCAGCCTCAACAAATGGAACCTACAAATCTTACACTTTTCCCACAGAGTTCGAGAAGAGAGGGATGTTGAATCCGATGGTCCAATGGACTTGAAAACCCTTGCCGCGGCTATAACACATTTATTGCTGCACGATATGTCCCTGCCTAGGGTATACTCTATCCGTCGACCACCAGCGCAGCCCTCAATCCATCGTAGTCCTACGCCCTGGCAATTTACCTGGACTAGCTAGCAGAAGGCCTTCTGGCTGCATTGCCATGCTGTGTGGTCTCAAAACATGGCAGGGAAGATGCGCTGGCAACGGCATGGTCCTGTTGGAGGTGACGCTGAACAGGAAAGCGATACCAACAGCAGTTCCACACTGTGAAGGGGAGATAATTGCGCAAATCTCTATTCAGTCGAGGAATGCAACATTGGTGGTTTCCAGGGTCCCCTCTAGGCCGAGGAAAGGGTAGTCATCTGGGAGGATAGCAGTTATTTCTTCAATAATCGACCACAACATCTCGTACATGTGTCTTATTGGAAATCCAGCAATGGAGAATCTTGCCTTCTATCCCGGCCTCGGGGCAACACGTAGTGACTTTGGTAACCCTTCATTCAGTGCTGGCAGTAGCTAATCTTGAGCCGCTATGTGGCTATTCGCATAGTAAGATAATATTAAACGCGTCATTGAGATATACCAGATACATCAACCAAGCGTTCAGGGCCAAAACCCCGTCATCATGTGAAAATGGGACCTGCAAATATTTATAGATGTACTTTGTAGTCCCGAAGGTTCCGAGAGAAGAACCATGCCAAGAAGCTAGATGATATTTATAGACGCTAAAGAGAAGAGTACGTGGCTATTATTATATGTTCTACATGATCTTGAACATCTTAGTGTCATCACAGGCAGCAATAGCCCTGAAGGACATCCCAGCGGCCATCCACGGATGCAACGTGAAGCTTGGCACTACTACCCGTGGAATCCGAACAGAACCCTGATATCCAGGCATACTCCACCGAAGTACCAAGTCTGTTCACCGTTGTATTCAAAACAGTTTCAAATAATTTACCTGTAACCGAGCGCAACCGACAATTTTGTCCAAGGGCTTGACCGATGATCATCGCCATGACGCGGCAGCTGAGTGAGCTTCGGTGTTGCTCGAACGGGTAATTAGCGGTGTTCGGTCAAATCGCACTCCGTACGCCGTATGCATCCCTATGCAGCCACAAAGTCCTATAAGGCGAAATGAAAATGATCACCTCGCCAGCCCCATCCGAATGCCGACGTTTCCGATAATTCTACCAAATCGGGTATCCGGGGAACAAGGCAGGTGGAAGCCGCATCCTTGTGGATGTAGATAACGGTGTTGGATCGACAAGCCACGGCATTACAGGTCGGCTTGAAATGCACGTTGTTCCATTTTACATTGTTCTTTCAGCTGTGTACCGACAGACGACGACCCGTGAGCGGAGCTGACTGGATCCCGACGGAGTCAAGGCGGAGACCATGCCGGGTTGTCGTATCGCCGGGAAATTTGCATGTGTGGAAGCATTTTCCGTCGAAACGAGGGGGCTTCAGGAGAATAACCGGTGTCGTATAGGGAAAACATAGCGACCACGGGACGCTTGCTGGGGCTCGGATTGGCAGTTTGGGAAAATAGGTGGGGAGGACGTTTGTTACATACCCTCTGCCAAGCCGGGCTAAACGGCCTAATATGGACTGTCACGATACGCTCGCTTAGGTAGCCTCTTGGCGGTGTCTTGGCAAATGACGATCCAGCCTTATTCCTTGGCTGTCAGGGATAGCGTGGAGCACCTTGTAATACGAGGTATCGTGTTTGGGCCCCGGGGTTTAGTTACTAGTGTTGGCGCTGACGGTTTCATTCGGAGTTAAGAACTTGCCCCCTGTTTATGATTCTGCGGGGTTAATGAATGTTCAGCGCGAGTCATGGCTGAAACTCGAGCTGCTAGCCCTGGAGGGCATACGTAAGTAGGGCGTAGCGCTTACATGGGTACGCGTTCGCAGGGTTGCCAAGATGCGCATGTGATGCCAATTTGTATGGTTTGATATATTGAATTCACTCGGGTATTGATTTTTATGTTCATATATACATCCGAAATTATCCAGTCACCGTCCTTGGCTTGATTGTCTCCGCTTCGTGGATAACAGCCGGAAAAAGAGAGAGTAAAAGGAAAAAGACACCAATCATGATCGGAACAAATGTGATAAGAAAAAAAAAAAAGGCTCAAACAAAAAGAGTCAAGATGAGTCGTAGAAGAGAAGAAAATGCAAAGAAAATGCAAAGATATGAGAAATAAATAAAACAATGAGTGACATATAGACACTTGAATAGAGAGCGCAGGCCACCAGGGCATTGCTTCTTAAGAAATCATTCCAACGTCTTGTCCAAAATGCTCTGAAAAAATTATACAGTCGCCATGGGGATGCTAGTCAAAGGCAGGGAATCGGGGGCCTTCTCATCTTCCTCGAATACCCACTTCTCCAATTTCTGGGTCATACGTGCACAGAAGGGGTCAACATATCCAGTCCACAAATAGGCACAGAAGTAGACCAGCACGACCCAACAAGGGATACTGATAGCCACGACCCAGGGGGCACGGATGGGGATCCAGTGGGGTTCGAGGGGCTTGCCATCATCGCCGTAGAGCGGGTTACCCTTCTCATCGACTGGCGCACCCTCCCAGGGCTGGCCGGTAATTCCGTAGAGCATCCAGCACAGAACGGTGCGAAGGAGAGTGCCGTGCACGAGGTATACGGCGAAACTCTGCTTGCCGAACCAGAGGAAGAGACGGCTGGAGAGGAACTCCTTGGTGGAGGGTGAGATGTAGATGGCGAAAATGATGAGGTCGACACCCAGGGCGGAGTAGCGTCTACCGACGTTGACCTCAGGGGGGAAGATGTAGTGTGAGGCCTTCTCCATGTAGCTGGACCATGTGGACCATTCTGGGTGTTCTCCGGGGTAGGAGCAGACGAAGAGGCCGGTGCAGAGAAGGGTAATTGCTACGATCTTCCGGCCCCAACGGTGGCGTTCGACGAATTCTTTGAAACCGTTCTCATATGAGAGATCGCTGAGGAACATGCCGTAAACTGCCTGCATTTGGAAGGTTTCTGTGTTTTCTTGATTAATACCAAAAGTTGGCATTTTGGGTTTTTCATGTAGGACTTACCGGTGGTTTTGGCTGGGTTCTGGTGGAAGTATAGATACAGACCCAGGTAGATGACCAGACGGAATCGGAACTTGACGAACATAACTGCGCAGATCAGGACGTAAATCAACATAGATGCGTTGAGCAGCGGCAGCAAAGCCCACTGGTGATCATCGTAGGCCATGTAGCCTGTAGTCCAAACCTCAAGGAAGGTCTTGAACAAACGGATAAACTCCTCCCAGAGAGTAGGCATCAGATCAACGGCTGCGTAACGACACCACCAACAGTCGGAGCGGTTAGCGGCGACGAAGGCACCACACTGTGCCATGACCCATGATATGATTAAGGCAATGGTAGCCGGGAATATAAGACGAGGTGGGCGGCGGAAGGCACTCTTGCCAACGGATGTAAAGGCTCCAAGAAGATCTCCATTGCGGCGCTGCTTGAGTGGTTTAAGAGCGCAAACGTAGCCGGTCAAGAAGGCGAAGATCGTGACACCCAAACGGCCCTGCCAAGGAATACGGAAGACGGGCCACTGCAGAAATCGGGGAGGGAGGTCGAAATCGTCGCGAGGGGAGAAGAGGTTATAATCCCATCCTCGGGCAAGGTGGGTGAGGATAACTAAGACTGAGGCGATTCCTCGGAGGCCCTATTCACGGATGTTAGTACCAACCTCCTTACGTTCATGTATCCCTATAAGGCTGAGATGCAAACGTACGTCAATCCACTTGACACTTTTCCGTGGATCGCCTTTCACTGATGGATCTGCGGACTTCCAGGGAATGTTGTCCAATATGCGCGAATAGAGATGATTAGGCCGAATATACTCCATGATGGGAGTTGTAAAAGAGTGAACAAGAAACCGAAGTCCGCTAAGAGACTAGGTGTCTACTGGGCTGGTCGAAATTAAAAGCACCAAGACCCTAAATGTCGAATGTCGAAATGCTTCAAAAAATATAAAAAAAACAACGATATGCCAAACAAAATGCAGATTCAAACGATAAGAAGAGACTGATAAGGCTTCCTCCCCATATATAGATCAATGAGCGTGGATGGGTGAAGTTCAGAAGAAAAGTGGCCAAGACAGCAGATTGGGGTATATGTAAGAGAAAATGTCAGTTTACTCCCATTCCCACGAGTCGAAGATCGGGCTTGGCCAAGCGGAAACGGGGAATGAGGCGATCGAATGAGGGCGAACTTGGGAATATGGTGTCGCGTGGAGCCGACTATAGTGGATCTTTGGAAATACAAGTTCAAACCCCTTGAAATACATATGACGCCATGTAAATTATACTAGAATGCATAAATTATGAGGCTTGTCCGCTCGTTTATCGTATTTTGTCTGTGCCAATTGTTCAAAAAAAAAGGAGTAGCAAAGTACAAAAGAGGAGTATGCATCAATAGTTCCAGTTACATGTCAATCGGAAGTATCCTGCATGTGATACTACCTTATACTCCAGAATATTCTGTACAAAGGTGGGAAAATAAGCTATCAGGTTATATAGAAAGCTGACGACGCTCTGTGTATTCAGTTGAACTAGTATTTCATGCAACCAATTATAGTGTGTACTTAGCCCATGTGTATCCATGGACTAAAAACCGCCTCAATTACACCAGATCTTGGCGTTTGGCCCTTCATCTTCATTGTAATTGGTTAGGCTAATCCCAGCGGCAAATCGGAATCCTGTGTTTCGGATTTACTTTTTTTTTCAAATAAAAAAGTCCGGCTCAATTGCTGGGCGTTAACACTTTTACCAAGGGGATGGAATTCCTAGAAGTTAGATGTATTCCCCCCCCCTTTTCCGCCAAATACGAACCCGAGACTCTTTAGCTTTTATTTAGGGGGTACGAAGTATGGAGTATTCGTACTCCATACTGGAATACTCGGAATACTCCATACTCCGTATTTTCTATATACATTGTACTTCAAACGCAGACTCTGTGGGGATCTGTACCGAGCCTTCCGAATATCACAGGAAAATGTTAGAACAATTCTAGGACAACATTCCGTCCCCTTTAGAATGTGACAAACTTGATTTTCATCCAAGGGATTTCTTTTTTTCACTATAACTCAATAATATCGTATTCAACCAATTATGCAGAGCAAGGTCTTGGCTTCCAGTCTAAGTCCTGAGATAGATTATTCAGGCGTGCTAGCCATTATTGAATGGATCCTTCCAGAATCAAAATTTGAAATTTACAACATTTGATTGTCTACCATGTTAATATGTATAACATTGGCATTGAGCACATGACAATTTACTCAATTGGGAGTCGGGGATCAACGTGGATTACAACGTGGATTCAAATTAGCTATTTTAGGTTGAAGGCTTTTTGGCTTCTGTCTATTTAAGCCAAAAAAAAAAGAAAGGAAAACATCATATAAGGTTAGGGGGGAAGAAAGCCCGGAAAAAGAAATAAACGTCCAAGCCCCAAAGCCCAAGCCCTATGAGAATCTTCTTATCATTGTCTGATATTCGAATGTGAACAAGTTGGGTCTTGGCGACCCAATTTTATGCGAAATTTGAGAAAGTCCGAGCCAAAGCCACTTTTTTTTTCCCAAGATTTTTCAGAAAAGATCGTCTTTTGGGAGTCAAAGGCCCAAAGTTAAGAGATTCCCCTGCATAGTATCGGAATATCGATGCAGGGATGTTGTCCGACTCGGAGATATGTATTTACGTCGAATATACGAAATAGACACGTATCTCGGGTTTAAAAATGAATTTAGCCACTTTCTATTAAGTTCTAGAACGAGTATATATATACGGAGTATACGGAGCGCATATTGGTATGTTGTAGTATTAATTGTGGACCAAAGTAACCCCCCCACTTTAAAAAGGATTTAAGGATTTCGGGAAATTTGATATATATGGGCTTCTAAGAAAGCTGTCAGTGGTAATTTGAAATACAATACCTTGGCCACTGCCAAGATCGCGCAATTTCGGTTTCAACCCATAATTGGACCCGTCTGAATTTACCCCTTAGTCAGGAGAACCTCAATGGTTTAATGGTTTAATGGTTTAGGGGGGTTCTAAACTGGAATATCCAGAATCTGTGTACTCCGTAGGAACACCACTCTTCCAAAATGCGGCTTGGATCAATTACGACTTTCCTTTCATGGGCCTTGGTCGCTTCGGCCACCATTCTTGAAAATGGTCAAGTGAGAGAGAATGCCTACCCTGGCCAGTTAGAACCAGTGACCCTAGACGATTCATGGAGGAACTATCCCGCGGATGCCCCGGAGATCTCATACAAAGGTCGATGGGATAGCCAGCACATTTCTTGTATGTTCCCCATCTCCCGACTCCTCTTCCCCGGATTTCTTGTTTTAACCTTTAATGCTAACGGAACTCAGGGTGGTCGTATGTACCAGTCTCTTTTTTATTTTGTTCGGCTTAGGGTTTACTAATTATATTTCAGTGCACCCGGAATCAAGCTCGAGTTCTCTGGAGAAAAGGTATGTACATCTTTTCCATTCCGATCAACCCTAAAATGTGGTCCACATATTGATATATTCTTAGCTTGCTGTGCATTTCGGCCCTAGCACTATCACAGGCGTTCTAGTCGCCTACCGGTATGTATACATCTCCCTCTTTGAGTATTCGTTGTTCTAATCCTTGTCAGTATCGGCTCTCTTGACTGGCAATTCTCTAATATCACTGCCTCGTCAACATATCAATTTGTTGGACCATGGTCAGAGCTCAAAGATGGCGATGAACCCGTCGAGAAAAATACCTTTGAGATGAGAGGTATGGCTCCTATCAACCCCCCACTGGCAATCTATATACTGACTGCATTGTAGTGACAAACTGGGGCATTGGATAAGTCTCTCCCTGTCGTTGGATCTGTTCGTTACTTACCCTTCACACAGTTCAAATTGCTGGTGTAGCTGTCGCCGAGGGCGCTGCCCTCACCAAGCCCCCGACCTTCGGAAAGAGAGTCGAGATCATCGGTGGCTCGTGAGTTTTCACTCCTCGCACGCTACTTTTCCATGCAACTAACCATTCCCAGGCTTGCATCTGGCCAATTCGCCACCTATGAGACAATCTCCTCATGGTCCTTCCTCTTCGCCAACGGCTTGGGCAATGCCGAATACGGCATCACAGTCAGTCCGCTCCAACCTGATTCTTGAATACCAGATCCACTAACACAGTCATATAGGCCTATCCCGGCGTGTGCCTTGCAGATGAGCAGTGTTACAACGGTGGCTCTCGCGGCGTGGTATGTCACCTCCCATCTCCAAGGAATCCCAGGAATCCAACTAACAACACCACCAGGGCTGGTACTGGCACCGTGCCTCCGACCCCGGCTCTCGCGCACGTGCGATGTACGACCACTCCCCCGAGAAGTGGGACGTGAAGGCAGAGCAACCGGCGGATCTTGTGATTATCCAGATGGGCGGTAACGATCACCGCATGCCCAACGAAATCCCCGGCCGGGATTACTACCATGCCTACGTCGATTTGGTAGAGGATATCCACTCCAACTGGCCCAACGCGATCATTCTTCTTATGGTATGTGCTTACCCTATTCAGAATAGATTTGATTGTAAATGCTCAAACTAACAACCAACAGTCCCAATGGGGTGGTTTCAAGAAGGAAAACAAGAAGTGGGTCGGTAGCACTTACTATCTGGAAGAGACCAAGCAGGTCAATGAGCACTTCAAGGACCGTGGCTTTGTCTACTATTTCCCCACCGAGGGTCTGCTGCAACACAATGATATCAACCCCAAGAACCATCTTACCGATGTGGGACATGTCAAGATTGCCAGTCACTTATTGCAGTGGGTTAAGTTGGTGCTCAGGTGGAACCTTGAGCCCACTGGTGAGGTCCAGTCTGGAACTGCTTACTGGAACGATCAACAGGAATATTGATCGTTGCTTTCGGGAGGACTGGAATTGGGGCTGGAGACGTATCTGGCCCTTGTACATTTATTTTCTTAGATATTTTGATACTCAGCACAGAGTGGATAAACTGGAGAAATATATATATACCAACTTTTACGGCATTGTATTTTTTTGTGCATTTCAAGTTTGAGAAGTAGCTATGTGTCCGACACCCGTTTGGGCGACCTCGCCATTATATATTTTCATCCCAACCTCACTTGTTCTTCATTCTACTGTCGCACTTCAACCTGTCAGAAAGGCTTTCACTTCTTTAGCACACGTCTTAAAAGAAGATCTTTTTGAATATGTCAATATCTGTAGCCCTGTACGGTCAGGAACTCCACATCATGATTGGTGGTTGTCAGACATTCACACTGGCACATGCATACGGACGGTCTAATTACGCCCCTCCCGTCTGGAGACTTCGATATCGTTACGGGCCAGAGTTTGAGGTCGAAGTATTGGCGAATCTTATCACTGCCGAATACAAGTTTCGACAAACCCTCCAGCAAAAGGAGGCCCTCGAGAAAAATGTCCGGGCGCTAGAGAAGATTCCAGGGGACCGCGAAGAGGAAAAGCAACTTGAAGAATACCGCAAAGAGCTAGAGGCTGTCAAGCGAACCCACAGTGAGAACGAGCGGAACCTTTTCGCCCAGGAATCGATGCTTCCACCAGGTACCTTGGAAAAAAAAACTATAATGAGCTGAAACGGGATCCAGTCTGGTATCTTAGGAAGGAACTGGTCGAGGACTGCATCAACCGAGGTGGTTGCTGCGCCCGGGGTTGTGTTTGTTGCAAAAACCGTGCATTCGCTCATTATAAAAAGGGAGTTGGTCATTGCACGGCTGGCTGTGGTTGCTGTGCATCTGAGAGAGGATTCGAGCATACAGCCGAAGAGCTGGAAAAGTCTGCAGATCAGCTCAACTCGCTGCTAGTATCGCCCAATCCGTCGTATGTTGTCAAAATGGCAGAGGCTTATTTTGTGAAACCGCCCGCGCCGAAGGTAGAAACGAAGACTGTGCCGGAGGTAGAGGCGAAGACTGCGCCGAAGGTAAATGTTCAGAAGGTGAAGGTGCAGAAGAAAAAGGTGCGTTGGTGGAATCGGCGTGTTTAAACCTGGGCATTAATGGGAGCTTGCTTGAATATCCTCTTGCGAAAGGGTAGGGATTGCCTTTACGCTTGCTTGTAGTCTTTCCCTTACCTTCTGGCTTCAATACTAAAAATATATCGGAAGTTTGACGATATGGAAAATAAATAGCCGTAAATTACTTACTCTATAGCCCCGACAGAGGATGAGCCTCAGGTCGCTCGCTACAATTATCTACCGTCATGGTCACCATGGACTTCCATATATAGACCTCTGACAACACGTCTATGCTCATGGTACTAGATACTGCAGCGAGTCAGCAGATTGATTTCGAGGCCCCTTATCGGGACCCTCACTATTCAACAGTCTCCTAACAAGTATGTACATGTATCAGAATGTGTGATTTTCGCTGCCGGAATTTTCCTCTCCATCAAAGGTAGGGAAGAAATAACGAATGAACTCTTCACTAATCGGATCCAAAGGGAAATGCGGATCGCCCGCAGTGGACTCTTGATTACTTTCAGCAGATAAAAACTCAGACGCCAAAGAATCCGAGAGGTCTGCGCCATTATTGTAATGATCCACTGCATGACCTTGGGGAAGATTTGACGACTGAGATTGACCGTTATAAGGTGGATGTTGAGCACCGTCAACTCCGCCATCAAGCCGTGCAGGTATTTCAAGGCTAGCATGATCACCAAACACATCCTCAGGCTGCTGGTTTGTAGGTCGTGGTATATCGCTGTCATCGTATCCCATGCTAGACACCAGTCGACGAACAGCACTTTCACAAAGTTGCCATGCACGATACGACGCTATGCAATGCGTAGACATCATGTAGAGCCATCGGACAGATTTCTTCGCTGACTGAACCAGACTAATTTCTCGATCTGGCATATGCACACAGCCAAAAGACAGTTCCAAGATGATTACCGTCGATGTCTGCATGATGTAATGAAGGAAACACCACCATGGACAAACCTGGTATAAATACACAGTATCTGGCTCGTCGGGCAGCAAATCGAGAGTGGAAATGGTCGACTCTAGGGTCATCACAGCCATTTCGTGGCTGAATCCCCACTGGTCAAGACTTTTCCTTGATCTCTCGCGTCGCTTTGGGTTGTGTCGGCAGAGACACGGTCGACCTAAGACAATGCGTGTGCTGTGATAATGGAATGCCAAGTTTGTCTTCGCCCAGTAGGTTTGCTGATCTTCATCTTTCATGGAAGTGAAGTCCAGCCCTGGTGGGAGAGTAGATAACCATGCATCAACGCTTGACTTCAGCCGTCTAATGGTGCCCTTGATCTTGTTCCATGATACTGTCGCGCTCGCTGCTGAATACACACGGTCTAGGATCTCTTGGCTCACAACTGTGAGATCACAGTAGTATAGGAAATAGAGACTGGGGTTTATTGGCAGGCTTTTAAGCCACGAGCGCCCAGCAAGTCCTTCTTCGGTCGGTTGACGGTCGGCGTGACGAAGGTACGGGCTGGTCATGGCCATGTTCACGCGTTTCTCTCTCATACCAAGGTCATCGAGGAGTTCCGTAGCTGATGGATCGGATAAATGATCCTCGTCGAAGGGAAGGGGTAGTTGGGTGGTATACGTATGGAACGAAATAGAGGTTGCCCGACCAGTCATCGAGCCTAGCTTTTCTTCGACCGTGTAAAGACACCACCAAACTCGACAGAGCATCTCCTTGGACACACCGCGCCTTTTATTTGAACTGGTCTTCAAGTTGATTCCGAGCGAGATGGCGGATCGAAGTGCTAAAGCTGAGATTTTCCATGCCCTACGTTTATCAGATTTATTCAGTAAGTGGAAGAGCTCAATCGACTCACCTATTAATCTGGTTTGTAGATAGCATGTGGAATGCAATCAACCCCTCTATTTGCACTTGTTGAAGATCGGGATGTTGGAATAGACTGTCGCCGCTCAAACTTAGCATTCTAGCTCGAGTCAAGTAGAAGAGATGGTCTTTGCTATCCCCCCGCTGTGTCGCATCACTGTTATATAAGTATTCTGTCGCAATAGCGAAGATCATATTCAATATCGCCAACCATTTATCACCCGCATAAAACATATCATCGACGAAGTTCCTGTATTGGGTGGAAAACAGAGTACTGTTGATGATGGGGAAATGCGGGTGAACTGCGCGCAGATAAGTTTCAAACAGATGATCTGCCAATGGTTGAGGAGGTACCCAATACATTTGTACCGGCCCTGGTGCATCGATACCAAGGTCATCAAGATGATAGCTGACCGTGCATGGGGGAACTTTGTCATGATCTTTGGATGTAATTTTTGGTGATTTCTCGCGGCTGCGAAGTTCGGTTTCTTCCTCCACACGGCCCATCCACGTAACCTCCGAACTCTTGCCCATATATCCAGTGGCACGGGAGCTTTCGGTTAAGTTGACATCTTGCTCAACTCGATCTACCGCTTCCAATGATCCGATGGAAGAAGATGAACTGGATCGCCTAGTACCACTATGGCCCCGAGACGCTTGGGAACTTCCATTTGATGCATAGTTTGTATTGGAGTTGTACTAGGAAAGGTGTTGGTTAGTAAAGGGCCAAGACTCTGGCGTCTCTTTCATACGATGAACTCACCTTCTGGAGCAGATCTTTGATGCGCTTGGCAGCTTGGCCGTCGACCTGATTTTCTATCTCTTTCAACAGCGTTTCGTAATCCTGTACTCTCTCATGAAGACTTCCGATTTGTCTGGCAGTGGCTTTAGCTCATGCCTCGATTAGTTACATATAAAGGGGGATAGAGATAGTGGGTATTGTGGGATGTTGCTCCATATCCAGTAATGCAAATAGACGATTTGATTTTGTTCTTACTGTGTTGTTTTCTCACGCGACTTTAGCGGATATGTGCACGTAGCTTTTGTTTCTTCACACTGTCTACAAGTTGGAGTCTGGCCATTGCATTTTATTTTTCGCTGATGACATGATTCGCATGCCCGTGAGACTCGTTTGTTGGATGTCGGCACAACGATGGACCTTTGCCGGGGTATTGCAACTTTCATGGCATAGAAAAAAATATAGAATTGAGTATCAGGTATAATTGGAAAGGACGTTGTCACTAGTCAAGACCGATGATGTCATGCTGGCTCGGCACAGATTTGTATGACATCAGGGCAAATTTCCTGTATTAACTATATTAATTAAAATAGACATTGCGAAACAAAAAAAAAAAAAGAAAATGGTTCTAGTAAAGCGGAAGAAAGCAGGAGGTTCAGCCCTAGAGGTTCAAACTACGTATTATAATTTGGACATGACCCCTCCCCTACAGTTAGATTCTTCCATTTTTCTCCTTTACTAGTTAGTGATCACCAGCAGCAATTCAAGGCCCCTGATACCCATTTGATTCCTTGCACAGATTTTTTCGTAGTCGCAAACAGTCATGAGTCCCATAGCCGGCCTCATCATTGCGGTAAACAATCGCAGTCTCGCGGACATGAGTAGTGGGTGAACTTGTCCGACATGATCTATCTTATTATGCCGAGTTGACCTGATATTGATTATCCAACCAACCGTTCCTCCGGGCGCCACTATCTGCTGACATGACTAAGTCCCTATCTCCATCCGCGCCTGCATGAAAACAGAAATTCGATATCCTAATTCTGTTGCCCGGGGAAACGGAGAACAATCTTTCGGAACCTCCGATCCATCAGGAGTAAGGATAGGACCAGGATACTCTCCACGGGGGTACATAGCTGACTGGAGTCCTAGGCAGTATAACGCCAGGAGTCCCAAATTGGCATACCTACTCCCCATCAAGGACAGGTATCCTGGATGCTACAGACTTGATTTAGCATGGTATGAGTACTCTTACGAATCTGGCACACTCTGAAAAAAACCAGCCATGTAGTTCTAGTCGTTGATACAAGACCTTGGCCCAAAATATCCATAGGGAGACCATACTTTGAGGCCAATTCAGCCTGGCCTCAGCGATTGATAGATCGGAATACAATGCACGGAAGACCCGATACTCCTCAAACCAGGTAGGAGTGCCAGCGTCACGCGGCTGATATGGCTCAGTGCTCTCCTGGAATTGCACTCGACCAGATTTGTGTCATGAGTCTTCTCTGGGTTTGGTTCTTTGTTCCTGAGACTACAGGGAGAAGCCTTGAATCAATGGATATATTGTTCGATCTACCTTGGCGCCAGATCGGTCGTTGTGGAAAATACCTTGCTCCTGATGGGATTGCTCACTTTGATGAGAATGACAGAGAGAAAGCCGCTGCAGTCCGTCAGGAGTAGCCATGATGTGGGACAATTTGACGCTATCTGACATGAGCGCAAAATATAAAAGAAGTAATCCCAAAAAGATGAAATATTTTGAGCAAGCATTGAGAAATGAACGTATTTTTAGAGAGGGTGCAGGAGATAATTTTTTGCTCCCGTAGTCGACAGGGGGGCATGGACAAGATCTTGGAATTCTAGCAGAAAGCAAACAGAAGCCATCACCTGATTGCTATCTGATCATCTGATTAGGTTTATATCACAGTCCACTCTTTGCAGAATTCGAAGCACCCGAGACCTGAGCTGTCTCACCTCCCCCACACGGTCATTCCCTAGCAAATGATTCGCCCCATCCATAATAGGCATATCCTCCTCGATATCACGCAGCATATCCCCCAACTGCTTGGTAAAAAGACGCAAAGTCTCGTTCACCATAGTCGTCGTTTCCAGCCTGTCTAGTTGAATGGCTCCAACAGTTATCGGTACTTCAGTGATAACTATTGCAGTTGTTGCTTCCACTGAGCTATTTATGCTTCCATTGCGAGTACTCGACGGATCGTGATCTAAGCCCCGTTGCGTTAGTACATAGGTTTAAGTGGACCATCTCGGGCCGACCTCGGGAGGATGAACATACCAACACCCCCACCGTTAGGCTGCTGGCCCCAGCCTCCAAGTATGGACTCAATCGTCGCCTCGTACAGCATGAGCATCTTTCTCGCAGCATCTATCATTCTTTGAAGCATGCGCGCGTCCAGATGTGTATCGGGTACCGGGCAGCCTTTCAATGTTTCCCAGTTGTCGGTCAAAGCTTCGCCGATGATGAGGACATCATCTAGACGGATGCGGTAGGTTTCTATTGGAGATCTATTCGAGAAGTCGGGGAAGCGATTCAGGACATCGGCTGTTTGGCGGAGACAGTTGCAGCGCGGTTGGGGTTGGGGATCCTGCGTGGTTGGAGGTGTGTTTTGCGCAGACAGCCGAAGGCTGTCCAGTTCGCTGGGAAGTCGATCCATTATTTTTCTTGGTGAGATTATATTGCAATGAGGGTTTCTTTTCACGGGTGTTGTGGGGTTTTGTAAGATAAACTAGCCATTAAGAACAGGTATGGTGGTATTGAGAGCTTGATATGGTTACCTCGCAGACCACGCTAAGGGGCATTTTCAAGTTTATGTGCAAGCGAAATGCATGCGATATGGCACCCTAAAATGGTATTACAACATTACTCCATACAGGGGCTCCGGGGGTGCTTTTGCCCAAACAATGGCCCGAACCAAAAGGAGTCGGGGGGTTCCGTTTCATATTATTCGTCCATCGGGGAGTCTTTATTATTTACTGCCCGCAAATTGTTCGAATTAGTAATGGAAGAAACCGGGATCAGGCTGCCACACATCCCCTGTACATATGTCAGTGTTGATAAGTGGATACATAATTTCAACGTTTTAATATAACACAATAACACAAGTCTGGGTTGAAAATATCCAGGGAAATAGAAATATATCGAAAAGGTTACGAAACGTGAATGTGCTAACCAAAGTGATGGGTTTTTAGGAGGTCGCTTCCCAGTACTTGAGAAATATATATTAATTGCCCTCTTCTACTAGGGTGACTTATGCGTAGCGAAGCTACAAACGTATATTGAAGTGATCAAAAGCATCTCGAAGCAATTTTGGAGTGTATCCTTCTAGGATAGATGTTGGGGAACGAGAATTCAACCGCATAATGAGCTAGTGAAGGCTCAACTGCCGACAAAGTCAAAATGTTCTATTTTCTTCCTTAGTGGCGTTCTCATTCCAGATTTAGTCTAGTTACTTGGTGGTGCAGAAGAAGAGTAAGACACCCGGCAGCGACACCGCCAATAGGTAGGTTAATGTAGAATTACTAACTCGAAGTGATATATTGTGAAAATGTGCCGATTGAGAGCGAAACATTATCCGGAAATTGTAGGTTGTTGTTAACGTTGGGATGTTCAGCAATGACGACGGTATTGGTGTTGACCAGTAAATCGCGCTGTCATCTCGCACGTTTGCCATGTTGTTTTTCAGAATCTCTCTGGCTGCGTTTCTCTGGCAGTAAGCCAATCAATTTCTTCCTGGAAGTGGCGACCTAGGCTTGTATAGTGTTTATGCTCAATAACTTCGAAGTGACCAGGAGAAGATTGATCGGACGGAGGCTGCTGGGATCACGCGAAAAGAGGCTGCTATGGAGGGAAGGGTAACTCTCGATCGTGATTTGAGTCGATTTTCCACCAAAAATGGTGTGTCAGGCTTAGGTATTATCCCAATGACAATTCGCGCACCCGCGAACCAACCCAGCAGGTTCATCGAGTAGGGCACAATGAGCCCATGTCCCATGATTCATGATCGCGCTGGAACGAGGTACATTCAGTACCCTAGAATCGACCGACAATGAATCATGGCGGACTCTATGTTTACCATATGTTTTCCAATCATCTCATATATTCGAAGGGTGGTCTGGTGTGAGGACCTGATATGTGTGGAGCGAAGTAGGGAGGGTGCCCACAAAAAGGGGCTTTTGCGAATAAGCGCAGAAGCTCGGTCGTCCAGTATCGGGCTTGCCTACCGTTAACCCGCAGGTCATTTATGGTATGTTCAGTCCGTGGATATTGGAAGCATTAGGCGTCAATGCGTAGCTCCAGATGTACGGAGTGCTATGGAGCCTCATTTTTCAGTCCCAAGGACTATTGCGGGCAAGGAACCTAGCGCAGTAACTCGCTGGAAGCCAGGGCCAGGATCGGACCTAGCTATTAATCCTATCAGCATTTGCCCTAGATAATGAAGTGAGAACCGGGTGGGATATCTTACCAACTTCCCGACGATAACGTGATGTCCGGAGTATATGAGTGAGAATTGATGGGAAAATGAGAAGATAGAAGCAGAGGGCAATGGTATATGACTAGGTTGGATAAAGAGTAGAATGGTGGAAAGGGAAAAGAAAATGAATAAGAGCGACGAAAGTGCAACTCTTCACCAGTTTTCAAGAAACAATGTTATGAAGAGATCCCCTTATTGTGAAGGCAACTACCATAAAAGGAAAGAGCTAGAGGACCCCATCTAAAACGGCTTACAAATCGGCTCTAGGCACTTTCCCGACACCTGTGCAAGCTCTCCTTAGACTCGTATATAGTTCATCTAGCATCTGGTTGATTTTTGTTACTCTTACAGTGACTACGCATAAGTCTGAACACCCTTTTGAGACCCACCTATCACACCGCCCAAACGTCACTCTACCGCCTACCAAACGCTCATACAAGTTATGCCATAAGGCACCCAATTTATCTGAAGCACCTGTTAGGAATTGCCTTTAGAATTTTGACGTTAATTTCTATCTAGGAAGGTAACTTTGTGTATGACAAGGCGGCTTTAATAGCTACCGAGTGAATCTTAGGCGGAAAATTATGCCGGCAGAACATTACGTAACTACTCTATGTGGGGCCAAGGGTGTTAAGACTTATGCGTAGTCACTGAACGTGCGAGGGCAGATTTTCATCCCTGTACTTCTGGTTCTCGTCGGGATGTGACCAGACTAGCGCCTCCCGCGGATACCTCGGGAAATGTTCGGTGACCGATGTGAGAACTCTTGGAATTCCTCCGCCACAACTGAGAGCTCAATAAAACTTAGTGTATTTGGTGGAGTGATGGTATTTCCCCAGTCTACTAATATCACAATCTCGCGAGTACATAACTCTCATTCGTGACTTCATCGGGTTTATCGAGCTATCTAGCGACACTCCCATCCTTTACATGCTTCTCATATATAATGCCTCTTCAACAAGCTTATAGTCGTTGTTTGGCGGTAATTATGTTTACCTAGCTTTCAATCGAAGGCTACAATATAACCTATGATACGAAACAAACTCGGGGCTTTTTTATATAGCATGTTGTCCGGATTGGGGTGAAATGGAGCAGTGGGGTTGGGAAAACAGCCTCATTGAAAATGATGAGGGGAACTGGAGGTTGACATACCTTCGAAATTTTTGGACACGAGCCTATCTGAAGCGATGGACTGCCTTTGTGGACAATGCCTGGGTTGGTATATTCCCACTCGGCAACCTGCGCTATCTTCACCTCTCCTATTGCTGGAGTCCGAAACTGATGACTCTTCAAGCTCATCTAGCGAGGAAGACTAAATTTGAGTATTCATTTTATCTTTTTCTTTGTTTTATAGTGCTGGAACTTTTGGCTAACTTTTGAATTAGGGCGATTTTTGATCATGAACACGTTTTATGAAACCAATGGTGCGAATTTATGGATGCGACAACTTGCAATTTGGAAATCCTTTTGGGAGAACAATTGGGGATGTGAAATTGAACACTTGAAGATAACTTTGGCAACTTGTGGTGGCTTGGGAATTGGAAGGCAAGATTGATATTTTTACGTGACTTGGAGCCCTTTGGGGGATAAGCTTTATAGCTTTGCCGGGGTGGAGACCACAGTTATGCATAGATATGAGATCTACCGAGGTAAAACATTGGAAAGGAGATCACATGAAATATAGGAGAATGCTTGAATATCGAATTGGTGGTATCTACTACAAGCATCTAACATTGGCATTTGATTTAAATCCCATAATTTTATGCATAAAATGCCATGTGAATCACCCAATAAGGTGGCAATTCCCGAGATATCCAAACATATCATTTGCCAAGATCTTTCTATTCCCAACGACCCACATGTCATGAACAGATTGGCTCAACCGTTGTTGTTGACCAATGTTATATCTCCTGGACCGGGGTAATTTCCATATCGGGAGGTCGCCGAAGGAGTTTTGCTTTTTGTCCAATTTTTTTTTTTTTAGTATGCCGGCATATAACAAACAAGGCAGATCCAACAAAGGACATTCAATCTGCCAAAACTTCGAAGCCTGAACCCTAGACCAAGGCTATCCGACCCCTTGCGTAGGCCCTAATAACCCCACACCCAAAGCTTCCACAATGGCTCCACAACCCATTCCATTCCCGGGCTTCACCCCGATATCCGATCGGGTATACCTTCGCAATGGCCACGAGAAGGCCAAGCCTGCTCCAGCCGACGAGCCAACAACTATCCTCATCTCCGGCTGGGGCGACGGCATGCCGAAACACGTTACCAAATATTCCGACGGCTACCATGAGCTTTACCCATCCGCGCGGATCATCGTTATCCTATCAACCACCTTCCAGGCCACCAATCAGCTCGAGGAAGCCAGAATCGAAGCTATGAAGCCGGTCGTCGATACCATCTTCCCGACGCCAACCGGCAGCGGAAACGAACAGGAGCGTCTGCTTGTACATGCCATGTCGAATACCGGTGCCATCTTCGCTGCCGCTACCGTTATGGCATACCAGCAACGCCATGGAGCAGACAAGCCATTCCCCCACCAGCTCATGGTGCTGGACTCGACACCTGGAAGTCTGGACTTCAAGTCTCAGGTTGGCCGCTGGTCGCGTGCTATGGCGGTCGGCACGGCTAAGTTCTTCCCTTGGCCTTTCGTTGCAACCCATGGTATGTGGTATGCTTTCCTCTGGGCGTTCCACCTCTGGGGACTGGTGCGCGGCTTGGTGCCTTCGGGTGTGTGGGCGGATAAGATCATAAATGATAAGGCCCGCGTCACGACCGATTCTAGTAGAGTGTACCTTTACTCTAAGGAAGATGAGATCATTGGTTACAAGGATTTGGAGGAGAATGTTGCTCATGCCAAGACGCTGGGTTATTCAGTTGATCTTGAGATGTTTGAAGGTTCGCCGCATGTGGGCCATATGAGACTCCATCCTGAGCAATATTGGAATAAGGTTTCCAGCTCTTGGAAGCAGGCTATCGCGGAGAAATAAGCGGCGAAGACTGGGTATATTGCATTTTGTGCATTTGTATTTATAGATTAGATCATGTTTAATAACTATATATAGAGGTATTTCATTGTTGATAGGTTTGTTGATATCACTCGCCAGTTGCCAGGACAAGGATCGGGTTAGCCAAGCCTCAAGTCTGGGGTTTTGTGGGGTATATCAATCGAACCCTGCAGCGCGGGGGATAGACCTGCGATCCGCTAGATCGGGACATAACTTAATCTTAGCGTGTAGTTGCTTATTTGGTTTCAATGGTGACCCGGGCCCAATTTAAAAGGAACCGGCAAGATTTCCATAGGTAACAACTCATCAAATTCGTAAGGCATTTATTCAACAGTATCAATCTGGTTCTTTCAAGCAACGCGAAATGAATATACAAAGACAACAACCCATTCTCCACCCTAGAGATGCAATCTAATCACGGTCATCAGGATGGAAAACCAATGCCCGCACTTCAATACTCTCTCTTCCCTCCTCATGCTCCGTTTCCGGGTTAACAAAAGCAGTATGCGGCACACGCCGAGCTCTTCCATCAACCTTAGAATCAAAGCATTTGATAAGTGTCACCAAGTCCGGAGTCTGTCCATATCGGTAATACCACTTGATATTAGGATCCGGCTTGACAGAGTATGTCTCGCCCTCGCGGTCCGGGTATATAAGCCCGATGGGCACGAGGTCACTATCCGGGACTGAGTGTGCATCCGCTACAGCTAGCGGGTCCTTCAGGATGGTTTTGATCGGACGCCAAACGTTGATGATCTGGTATCGGCCCTTGAGAAGCTCGGGTGCCTCCTCTGGGAGATGGAAGGAGACTCTGTTCTTGGACGCGCTGTAGGATTGATCGATGTGCACGCGCTGCACGGGTCCTCGGAGCTGGGCACCGATAGATTTGTCTTTTGGCGCTCGGCGGATAGTGTGGTCGAAGATGAAGATTCGAGAGGCACCAGTGCTGTGCGAGTCATTGTTAGTTTTATTTGAGAATATTCTGGGGGTCTGGGAATTTCGCACGCGTCTTTGAGCAGCTGTTCTGTTTCCGGGTAGTATTCTCTCTTGATCTTCTCGTCGTCTAGGAAGTCCTTCTCTTGGCTTTCGTGGTAATAAAGCTGGAATCCATGGCTGTCTAGCTTGTAGTCAAGCTCATGGCCGCTGATGTCGTGGATAGTGGTAGAGAGAGGATGCGTAGGTCGGTCGTAAGTTTCTGGTTTACCAACATACGATGGTTCGGGGGGAGAGCCATCCTCATTCGCTTTGTAGAAGTTGAGTGTAGTCTGGACATGGTGAGGCTTTTCGGAGATAGGGACTCGGAGCTTTTCTGAGAGCAGAGAGCCTTGAGGGCCGGGAAGTTGAATAGCTGCAGAAGCCATGAGTTATTTGCGTTCTTAGTTAATAGAGCTTGAAAGAGATGATTTTCAGATAATTCAAATTAGCGATAGTAAAGAAGGCTTTATATAACATAGTTCGTGTTGCGGGGTGAGTTTTATTTGTCAGAATACAGCACGCAATATTCGTATGACATGGAGAAATAGAGAAATGCTGATAAATGCAGTCTCGTGCACCTGACATTTATAATCTTGTAGATGACCAACTTAATATCGAATCTACGTAAACTCACATTGCTCTATATTTAACGGGAAGTTGGTCTTGTTATGGTCCGTTGTAGTTTTGCCACAGCGTTTCTTTGCAGTAGACAGATAGATGGAGAACATGGATGCGGTAGAAATTCATCTACCTCAGATTCTCATACTAATTTACGTGCCTCAAAGAACCAAGCAATTCAATACGATTGGTTACTCCTGGTATCAACTCATGTTATATTGAACAGAATGAAATTGGACGTTGTGAAAAGGATGTCATTGTGTTGGAGAAAGGGATCGAATAAGAATAGGAACAGAAAAAGAAAGAAAAAACAAGAAACCGCAGCCAGAACAATCAGATTTCCTCCTCGCTATCAACCTCTTCCTCTGCATCAAATTCAATGTACGACAGGCTGGAGGACTCCTTTGAATGGCTTGCAAGTGAGGTCTCCTCCGACTGCAGCGGCGAAATGGTCATAGCAGTACGGAAGATATGCACAAGCAACCCAATCACCTCCTGGAAGTTGTTGTTGCGTGCAGAGATGATATATTCCGACCACTATTCAAATATTAGACTAAATGATGTACATGATTTTATGATGGGATGTACTCACTTCAGAATTGTTGTTGATTTTCAAAAAAACAAAATACTGTCCATCCGTTGCAACACCGTACACAGTTGTGTCAGTCTTCATCAGGTCTTTCCTCCTGCGGTGAACACATCCTGTAACCAGGTTAGATTATATGTTCCATACTGTAAGGCGGGATAATAAAAGTCATTTACCCATATATGCCAGCGCTTGGGAGACCCCGGACATGGCAGATGCGCCTGACTTGGCTTCCACAACGACAACGCTGACAGCGACTTCGGCCTCTGTCCCGTACCACAATGTATAGTCCGGGCGTCCAGTCAGGTCGTACTTGGCTCCTTTGTATGTCACGGGGCCATAACGCCATAGGCCCTCGGCATTGAGGTGCACATCGTGCCCAGTGCTGTCAGACTTTGAGGTCACATAATCATGTGAGAAAGTAAGAAGATTGTTGAGGATGACACGGGACATTGCTTCATTAGCGTCGGAATTCTCAAATGCTTTGATCGTCTTTTCAGTCCATTCGGCTTTTTCAAATTGGTCAGATGTCGCATTAACTTCAATTCTCGTTTGGGTATATGTACCGAAAGAAGGAGAGAATTCAATCTGACCTTGATCTCGGAACTCAAGGTTGTTAAGCGAAAACTTGATATTGAGAGTAGATTGTACATCGTCAATGTTTAGCGATGAGATTGCCAGGGTTGGTAGTTCATATTCTTCGTTCTGCACCATTGACGTGAGTTGTGCAACTGACGCCCTAAGCTGTGAGAAAGAAAATTTATTGATTTTGATGTCCAAGATTGCTTGGACTATCTTCTTTTTGGTCGTGGCCTTTTTCTTCTCAATCTTGGTCGGCGGCATTTTGATTGCGCAGGAATGAACCCAGAAAGAAGAGAAGAGAAGAAAAATGGTAATCTCAGACTAGGGGAGAGCAGAAATCCAGGGTCTCAGGATCAATATTGGAGTACACAGAGTGCAAATATGAGAAGAACAGAGGCTGTTGTGATGAGAACAGACGCTGTTGAGATGAGAAGAAGGGTTGTTGCGAGAACAGATGCGATGTGAGAAGTGCAGATATCAGAAGAGGGTAAAAAGAAAGAGAAAAGAAAGGAAGCAATAGATATATATATCTCTCATTCTCTCCGGCTTCCATTGTGCCTATAGATCCATGGTATCGGGCCAATAATATTTCCCAAATCGGTTTAATATCAAACAACCTCCAAGGTTTCAAAGGAGATTGTACTGCATAGATTGCCGAGACCATGGTACTGGGGGAATACCTTTTTCCTAATCAGGCTTAGTAGTATATCAAACACCTCATAAGGTCCTATTGTGCCCCCATAGATCTACGGTACTGGGTCAGTTAATACTATGTGACAGAATGTGATGTAAAGCAAGGTATTGGATGGTAAATATGTACACTTTTGTATATCGGGTACTGTGGTTGTGACATTCTCTATGATACCATGATACCATGTTTTCAACCAGTATTACAGTATTACATGTTATAGTATTTCCGACAATATATGTATGATTGTTTACTCTAAGCCTTTCTCCCTGAATCACCTCTTTCTTTCCAATCTCGAGTGTCCCCGGGCGCTTAAACACCGCCCTTGGCCACGGGCAACGGTTGCTCCTAAAATTCCAGTGGACAAAGCCATCGAAGAAGAACGTACATACTATGATCCTGTGCGGTTTTATCCCGCAAGTCTAGGGACAGTTCTTAATGGTATCAACTCGCAACCAAACTCGGTTACGGTAGTAGTTCAACTATCTGGCTCGGGATCTAAACCAGTTTGTTCTCCACGTACTCCCCACGTCTCTCAGGTATCATATGTGCTAATCCTTGGCCCAGATGGCGCTGCTTAGGAGAGAAATACGTTGCTCTCAAGATAAACTCCAGTGCTCATCATTCTCGAGAGAACGCTGCTCAAGCTGAACTAGATATTCTACGACACATCTCTGAGGCAAATTCCCTCAAGGGTCGGGAATTTATCAGACGTCCTCTCGATTCATTCACTTTAGAGCATAGATTGGCGAGACATCTAACTCTAATCTTTGAACCTTTGTGGGAGCCTCTCTGGATATACCAGAGGAGGTTTATCGGTGAGGTGATACCTTCAGATGTGCTGGAAATATTGCTTTAAATGATATTTCATGGACTTGACTACCTCCACTCTGAATGTCATGTTATTCATACCGGTTCGTCTTTGGTTCTAGGCTAGATAACATAAATATTAGACTAATTGATCCCAGATCTGAAACCAGACAATATCATGATCAAAGTCGAGGACCCATCTATTTTGGAGAAATCTGCCACAGACGAGCACGAATACCCTCTACCGCAGAAGAGTTGCTCGGATGGCCGCACAATATACCTCTCTCGCAATGACTTCGGCATCTCCGAAAAGAGCACAGGCATAATCCAAATCACTGACTTCGACTTATCTGTCCGTGGGGACCACCCAAACAGACGGTGTATCCAGGCGGAAATATATCGAGCCCCAGAGGTTATTCGAGATGCAGGGTATTCGTACAGTGCGGATATCTAGAGCTTAGGGGTCATGGTATGTTTAGGCGTATGTCATTACCATATACAAGCTAACATCGTTTTGTTAGTTATGGGATGTTCTTGAAGGCAAAAAGCTATTCAAGGATATTGATCCCCTCGAAGTTCAAGGATATGATGAGCTTAACCATATTGGCTAGATCTCTGCATTGTTGGGCCCTCCCCCAAAGGAACTTCTAGATACTGGAACAAGAACTAGTCGCTTTTACAAATCTGATGGTGAGATATTAGCGTCTTTTTTGTTTCAGCAAGTATTCGCTGACTTCACTGAATAGGACAATTCAAAGATACAACTATTGCGCCATCGAAGTTCAACTTTGAAAATTCAATATGCAACATACAAAATGAGGATGAGAGAATGTTCATCGAGTTCGTATAAAAGATGATAAAATGGCATCCGGAAGAACGAAGCACTGCAAAGGAATTACTCCAGGATCCATGGCTTTACGCGGAACTTGATGGAAATTGAGCCAACTAGTTACATAACTGACAAGGGAGTCAAAAAGACTACATATGGATATATTAAAACACTATAACAAGGCCGCATAAGCGGTCGACTATTCTTGTTCAACTATTTCTCATAGCATCTACGTAGATGATTATCAAGTCTCAAAAATATGCGTAAATAAATGCGAACTCACACAATCAAAGTGGAAGGATGTTACTGTTCACCATACACCCCGCGCGGTTTAACAGACCAAAGTCCCCTCAACAAAGTCATACGGCCATTTTCAGGTCTTGAGGCTCTTCTGAGTCTTTGCGATCATGAGATTTTATGTTCGCAAGCATTATATGAGGACTTGTTCAATTTCTGATATCTGAACTTGCTTGAAATTAGAATCTAGCAAACTCCCGTTGACACGCTCTCATATTCCAGCAAAAGCTTTGTTACCGCATGCTTGTCAGCAGCTATTTGTGCCGCATCTCGTCGCATTCCTCGTCTCTTGTTTGTCATATTATTAAAATGTTGACAGCTTTCGCAAGTCTCGGCTTGAGCCGCTTCGAGGGCGTTACTAAACCCAGAGTGGTCTTTCGAAGGGTTCACAGTAGCCTCAGCACCGAGCAATATTTTCACACATTCTGTCTGTCCCCAATGTGAAGCTGCGTTCAAAGCAGTCCCATAACTTCCAGCAACCAAAGGCAAATTCACGTCGGCTCCGCATTTTTCAATGAGATACTTGACAACCTCCACCCATCCTGCTGCGGCTGCTGCCGCAAGCGCACTTCCGAAATGTCCGGTCAGAAGAAGCATATCAACAATTGCCCCATTTTGTATCAAACATTCAGCCATTTTAACGCTACTACCACATGCAGCAGCAGCGAGCGCGCTTCCGTAGGGTCCTTGAAGCGCCGCATTAACAGTGGCTCCATTTTCTATCAGAAATACGGCCGCTGGAACGCGGTGCTTGTATGCCGCAACAGCAAGAGCGCTTCCGTATGATCCATGAAGCGCCATATTGACTTTGGCCCCTTTTGTAATCAGGAGGTCGATCACACGAATGTTACTGTAGACTGCCGCAGCGGCGAGGGCGCTTCCGTATTTTCCTTCAAGCGCTAAATCAACAGTAGCCCCGTTCTCTATCAGAGATTCAACTCCACCAACGTTCCCAGTGAATGCCACAACGGTGAGCGCGCTTCTGTAAGACCCTTGGAATTCCATATCAACAGTAGCCCCTTTATTTATCAGGAGTTCGATCATAGAACGTCTACCACCGCAAGCCGCAGCAGTCAAGGCGCTTTCGTATACTCCCGGAATCTCGAGATCAACATTGGCACCTTTGTCAATGAGATATTCAGCCGCTTTGAGCTGGCCATGCTGTGCTGCAGCAGCGAGGGCACTTCCAAAGGTTCCTTGGAAGTTTCTTTCCATCGGCATATCAATGATAGCCCCTTCTTGTACGAGAAGCTCGATCATGTCAAGATCGCCAAAGAATGCCGCAGTGGCGATGGCGCTTCTGAAGCGTCCTTGAAGTTCCATATTAATGTTGGCCCCTTTTCGTAGTAAAGATTTAACCATGTCAAGTCTACCAGTAGATACCGCAAGTGAAAGTGCGCTCCTGCAGTCTCCTTGAAGTTCCATATCAATGGTGGCCTGGTTTTCGATTAAAAATTCAATCATGGGAATATCACTAAAGGATACCGCAGTAGCAAGGGCACTTCCGTAATTTCCTTGAAGGGGCATATTAATAGTTGCCCCATTTTCTATCAGAAGTCTGACCATGTCAAAGTTTCCCGTGGATGCAGCGGCGGCGAGAGCGCTTCCAAACTCTCCTTGAAGAGTCATATCAACAGTAGCCCCTTTTTCTATCAAAAATCGGGCTAAATCAAGTTTCCCGTCGAGTGCTGCAGTGGAAAGGGCACTACCCCGATTACCAGAATGGTCAACGGAAGCTTTGCGATTTAGAAGTTTTTCGCAAATTGAAATGCAACCAGCCCTGGCAGCAACAATAAGAGGACTTTCGTTTTGTTTGTTCAGGTATGTAGGGAACATATCGTTTCCATCCCACCAATCTTTGAGTATGGTATTGAACGAATAGCGACAGACTGCAAGAATAGGAAGAGTTGGCGGCGAAATGTCTTGAAGCGTAGAGTAGTCGGTGAAGATAGCCGTATCTCGTGTAAGCCGCACGTCGTCTGAAACGTCCCGATACCATGCCTGATAGACAGTTCCACTTCTTGATGGAGATTTCAAGAACGCTCTGAGCAGAGTATTCAAAAGATAGTCAAATCCTTCGGACTCTTGTGCCATATACTCTTGGCGCTGAATATGGCGCATCCAGTGGTGTCGGGAATAGAAGTGGAACGGATACTCTCTTGAAAGAATGACCGAATCATCATACATTTGCGGGTCCTCTTGGGTTGTGATCATAACGTCATCGTGGCTGGATTTAGAGACTGTGCTAAGTGCCGGTTCTCCATATGCAAGCATTAGGAAGCGCAGGCACGACTTGGCAGCATAGCAGTGGGCTCTTTGCGAATTCCACAGTTCATTTTCGATATACTCTGAAACGGAAGCATGACAGAATCTGAATCGGTTCGAGGGCTGATCCAAAACAAGCAAGTTCTTACAGAGGCTCAACAACGTGTTTGTATCAACCACTTCTTCCAGCTCGTTATGATTTTCATCATGACGAATGGCGGCTAGGAGCTGTTCGCTTCTCATCGGTCCGTACGAACACATCACCCATATAAAGGCACGATCCACGACTGTTTTCTGATCTTCATCCGCGGATATCTGTTCATAGATCTCCTTGTAGGTTTGGGTGAGGCCTTGAGGCATTCGCTTGATGCGACGAAGGATAGCCTTGCCTAATTGCAAGTTACGTAATTGTTCAATCTGCAGGGAAGCCCACAAAAACCTGTCAATGAATTAGTATCTTTCGTTTTAGTGAAATGAGTAGACTCACATCCCGTCACTCTTCTCTACCAGAGCTTCAACGGCCTCTTCTCGGAACCTCACTGTATTAGAGTTCCAACGGAGCTCGCCAATCTTCTTCTCGATAAAGCTTTTTATGTCTTCTTTCACTTCAGGAACCCCGGTTTTGATGATGGGTTCATTATGGAAATGTTCCTCGATGTCAGACTCTGGACGAGCAGAGATAAATACCCGAACTGGATAGTCTGATTGAGAAACAAGAGAATCAATGAGGTCAAATAGCTCATTTCTGGGCTCGGCACATTCGTCAAGGGCATCCAGAACAATCGTGGTTTGGCTGTATTGACTGACAGACTTGATAATTTGCTGCTTGCAGGTCGAAATTGACGGATGGGTCATTCTCTTCGATTGAGCGAAGAGGTCTCGGACATCCTTGCGCATTTCATCCTCTTGAAACTCGTGGGCCGGAGTTGCCAACTGGCGAAAAAGTGCTCGAATCACATCACTTGGGTCTTCGAAGGTTTGTCCGCTCCGTTGACAGTAGTAGAAGGCTAGCCCCTCACCTGGATGTAAATTCGCACGGAGATGGTCTATAACCCTAGACGTGAGAAAGCTTTTTCCAGTACCAGCTATAAACGTCAGCTTTAGTGGTCCCATGGGACTATATGAAGATGGAACCCTCACGGAGACCTTGCAGCCAAACGACTGCCGGTGATATGCTTTGCTCCCACTTTTTGAAAGCCGAGCTTTCTAGAATCCACCCGCACGTTTCGGGCGTCCGAGCGTCCGCCTTTAGATGATGTCGATCGAGTTCCCTATACTGCGAGATCCAGTTGAGGATTTCCATCACTTCCTGCTTATCTAACCGCTCAAAAAGTTCATCAAAACGTTGCTCGATGACCGAATTGAACATGGAGAACTTTTCCAAAAATTCCATAACGGTGGCATCCACATCGTCCTCAATCTTGCTTCGACAATCCAGAATAACTTCACGAAGATGGGAACGACAACTCTCTAAATCTGAGACCTGATCTTTTGCTTCTGAGGGGTTCAGAAGGGCATTGACTAGCCGACGGCCTGTCCGTTTATCGCATTGCCGGAGGGCATAAACCAGGAGTCTTAATGATGCAACATATAACTTCAACAAAGCGGATTGGAAGTCAGCCCAAAGATTTGTGTGCTGATCTTTGATCTTTTCGCGGAAGATGCTTTCGTATGTCTTTCCACAGCGAATAGTCCGAACAAGGATATCTGCCGTCATGAGTATAGCGGCAGTCTCTTCATCTGCGTTGACTGTGACCTAGATAAATTAAGAAGTGTCTCTAATGTAGGGTTGAATGAGGCGTACCTGCATCAAGCCTTTCACCAGAGGCCAGATAATACTCGCCGGCTGGGGCATGAGTTGGACACCGACGTCACCGACAGTGGTAAGGCAAGTAATGACCCTTGCCGTATAGTCTCTTGGGACAATTTTGCGTCCATAAAAATCGAACTTCCAGATTTTGTCTGATAATCCGTCCTGCTTCTTCCGGGTAACAACAATGAGATCTTCAAAATCCGTACCTTTGAAGCTCATATTCTGGGTCTGACCATTAGAATTTACTTGGGCTGACATCAAGAAGGCTTGAAGCTGCCCTTGCTCCTCCTGAGAAAGTTCATCAAAGCTCATTTGCCAGAGGTCCTCAGAGTCTTTCTGCGAGGGGTTGCATATGTCTTCGTCCACCTCAGTCCCCTCTGTGGCTGAGGGCTTGACAGAGGCATCGGCGGTGGTTGGCAGGGAATCTGAGGTAGACCTTGGGATTTCGGTAGATTGGCGAGATCTAAGGTTTTGTGATTGGGAATTGACACTGGAAGAGGTGGAGGTAGCTGTTTTGGAGATTGCAGGTGTTTTGGCTGGGTCCACCGTCGATTTACCGTTCACCTCACCGTGCACCTCCGCGTTCACCTCCACGTTCTCCTGGTGTGGAGACTTTCCGCCTTTCCATTTTTTGTAACGGCTGCGAATCCCCATTACTGAAAAATCCCGAAACGAAATGATTTTAAGGGTATGTGGTATATTCTAATCAAACCACCAATAGTTACCATATCAGGGGGTTTTGGAAAGTAGGTTTCAGGGAGCCCCAGGTAGCTTGTCGACAGGGTCTCGAGGGAAACAGTTCATCAGGTACTCAGGTGTTAAAGTACCGTGAATTATCTCAAGCTTGAGTGGGAAGCCTCGGCGCCTATCTGTTGATGGCGGGGTGTGTCGGCGTCTCCAGGACCCGTCTAGGTACCTTGAATACGCTAATCCAAATTAGGGAATCTTCCTGCTACATAGTAGCATCTATGTACTACTCATGGGGGCTAGAAAAATCAGATAATTCTGCTAATACTTTGAAGACTTTGGCTTTAAGAGAGAATCCAAGTCTCTCACAACAAAATGTGATATGTCTGACAATTATAAACTTTTGATAAGAGAAGTGCATGTATCATTAACATACAGTGAAAGTACAATGGAAAAAAATGAAAAGGAAATCGTTTGTGCGTGCTATGAGGTCTTGAATCGTACAGTTGCCATGGTTGCCATCCCCATCCGCTCGCAGGAAAAGTGATTTAACAGAGAAAAGAAGAAAAGTCGGGAAGACGAGTCGCACCATACACCAACACCAACACCATGAGGCAAAGTCCTGCAAAAGGAAATGAACAAAAAAAAAGGCCAAGTGACTCGCATCGCAGAAAAACAAAAATCAGAATGGAATCGCAATAGGAGGGCTGCAAGAGACAAATAAAAAGAGTAGTTATTGTGACAACTGGCATCATGAACAGAAGAAGTAAAGGATAATCTGTGCGTTAGAACTCTACCCATGTTTAGAGTATAGCTTAGAACATGAGAGAGCGGGTCTTCTGGCGACGCGCGTCAGCACTACCCATCTCGGGTTGAGAGTAGGTGTGCTTGTGTCGAGGACGTGAGGATTGAGGCGCCGGCGCCCCAGACCCTGCAGAAGATGGAGGTCCTGTCATGGCAGACCCTGCGGAAGATGGAGGGCCCGTCATGGCACTATTTTGGTTCCGAACAGGAGATGGGACCCTGGCAGGTGGAGTGGGAATCCCACTAGGTGGACGACGAGGGGCAGCAGTCTGATTATTGGCTTTCATGCTACGCTCGCGCTTGAGCACAAGATCAGCCCAGGGCTTGAGTGCACCATTGCCGGAGGTAGAACCCTTCCCGACAGCTTCCGACATGACCCGGAGCCAGCCCTCCTTATCTGCAGGACTATCGGCATAGAAGTCGATCACTTCACCATTGCCAAAGCGGATGCGGAATCCCTCCTCGACAAACATGTAACCGTCTTCCTCCTCAGCAAAGGCGGACTTGCGGCGAGAACCACCCTTCGTGCTGGTCTCCTTCTGAAGTAGAGAGGATCGATCGTCAATGAGCTTTGAGGCTTTGGCTAGGTTGATTGTAGCGCGGGGTTGGCGCGTTGTTTCGTGGAAGGCCGTTAACTTGGATCCCTGAAGCTTGAAGAAGCGACGGCGCCAGTACTATAGAGATTGATTAGTTTTAAATCGACGATAGGAGACTTTCTAAGCACTTACTGGGCAATCACCACCCTGCTGGGAAAGGAACCCTTCCCAAGAGCGAGATGCAACACTCTCTGCATCACGCATTTCGCGAATGCAGGCATTCATGCTCTTCGGCATGTCATCATCCTTGCTACCCTTGGGCTTAGGCACGAAGAGAAGTTGCACTTCCAACTTTCCAATCTTGTATGGTGGTCGACGCTGCGTACTGATGCTAGTCGCACTCTTCTTGCTCTTGACGCTACTCATTTGTTCCTCAACTGCCCATTCGTTGAAGCAAGCAACGTCAACAATGTGGGGTCGGCCGAAGGCCTGCTGTTCATGGTCGCTCAAAGCCACATATGCGCGGCCAAAGCTACCGTCACGCGCAACCAAGTTTCGAAGTCGTTCGTATACAGGGGCATTAACGTCCTTGGCCTTCTGTTCCTGGGATTGCATCTGTTGCTTTATGTCAAGCTCCTTGCGCCGGCGTGGCGATGCAAATACACGGCTGAGAGCTGACGCCTTTTGGCGTGATGGGGATGCCGCTGGTTCTTGGGTTTGGAACTTGCTCTCGTCAATCTTCATCTGCAAGGTCAATTGGAACTCGAGGTCATTCTGGACAATGAGCTCAAATTCCTGTCCAATGGGAGCAGATTTGCCCATTTCCAACCAGGATGTGGTAACACAGTGCAGTCCGTTATCCAAAGTCAGTGCGAAATATGACCGTTCACCTAGAGTTCGATTAGCGACACTGAATGCCATTCGGTCTTCTGATAGGGTCTTACCGCGTGGGAGAGGAAGGTCACAATATTTGAGGCCTACAACCTTCACAAACAAACGCCCTCGCTCTTCGCCATCTTCAAACGATTCGGAGATAGCTGGCTCGTTCTCTTCGATAGTTGCCGGGGCTTCCTGGACATTGCTGGGCTGTCCAGGCAGAGGCGGGACTCCACCCACACCAGGGACAGGCTTTTTCTTCGGGATACCGGTAGTAGGTTTAATACTTGGGCGCCGTGCTGAGCCGTTCCACGGGACAGTGGTCCAGGTCTGCTGACTGGGCTTGCGTGGAGAGGACCCAGCAGAACGTGTACCGCGCGGGTCTTGGGCAGTCTGGTCGGTGGAAGGCATGGCTTCTTCTTCATTACGACTGCTGGCAATGATAACTTTGGTGTTCTGTCTCATAAGATAACCTCTCTGTTTTGGAGTAGGAGAGTCAGCGGGGTGTACACTATTTCCTAGGGTCATGGGATCCTTGGGTCCTATTGCCGATGAAGGCACAGAGCTAGGGCTTTGGGAAAGGGCAAGATAAAACGCAACCTTTTGGGATTCAATGACACGATCGAACTCCTTGTCCAGTCCAAAGCCGAGGCTTTCTTCCTGGATACTGAAGGGAATGTCAAGCTTCAAACAACTGCTTTGTCGCTGGGCAACATCTGTGGGTAGTCCCAGCTTCGGTGGCAAGTCAGTCTGCTTGTCTTCATGGTCCGAAGAGTTGGAGTCATTGGAGACCTGCTTGGTCAATGGAGGAACAGGTGGAATATGTTGGCCACTGATCTGACGGCGGGTAGCAGCCATGGACTGGATATCAGCAGGGGTCAGTGAGGGTCGGGTCTTGAGACCAGCACCAGGGGCTCGAATTGTGGCGACTGGTTCCGGAACACACTCGTCGGATGAGCTCTCATCATCCTCCAACTGCGGCTCCTCTTCCCCTTCTTCCTCTTCTTCTTTGTCATCGTCGTCCTCGATTGGATGACGAATGACAGATTCCGGAGTAGAGGGCTCAGAAGCCTGTCCTTCGTGCATATCAGGGGTGATAGGGCGTGCGAGAGACTGACGGATAGACGTCATGTCGAAGGACTGGCCTTGTGAGTCGTTTGGCTCTTTGTACTGCTGCGCATCCTGCTTTTCGGCATGGGCCTTTGTTTCAGCTTGAGGGGTAGTCTGTTCAGATCCCTGTTTGTAGCTATCATGTCTAAATTGTTCGCGCTCGGCGGCTTCGGCAGCAGAGCGTAGGGAGTAATTGCTATCCTCGTCGTACTTGGCCCTTTGTTCACGGGATGACAAGCTGTTGTCAGACCTGTTTTGATAATAATCCGTGATAGAGTACAAGTCTTCATCATGCTCTTCCTGCTTAATGATTACACTGGAGGAGTCATCGTCGTCGGTTTCCATGGATGGAATGGGAACATCAGGGTCATAATGGTCATAACGTTGGGGGCTGGAAGCAATTTGAGAAGAGTCATCGTCGCTGTCGTCCTCATAATTGTCACCCTTGCGGATTCCTCGCAAGATAGAGTCGCGAGAGATGCGAGGTGGAGAAAAGAAGTTCTCTTTGGCCTCGTCTTCTGTGTGGGTATCATCTTTTGACGTAATGTTTTCATCTGCTCTAGGAAGGTCCAAGGGTTCCTCAATGTTTTGAGCATGGTCATCATGTGTCTCGTCATCATCTCTCTCGTGCAGCATCATGAGACGGAGTCTCTCTTCTATAGACACAGCTCCGGCAATATCAGACTTGGTATATGAGATAGGGGCCAGAGGTGCAGGGAGCACACGCTGGCCTGCACCACCAAGCTCAAAAGCAGCGGCGGGCTTACCAGCCGAGGATGGACGCGCAGCAGACATACGATTGACCGATGGTAAAGGTGGGAGAGGACGTCGCTCGCCATTTGAATCCAGTGATTCGACGCGTGTATGCTGAGAAGATCCTCCTTCGCGTGAGATAGGTCGGTCCTCGATGCCGTCTTCTTCAACGTCTTCGATAAAGGGATCGCTATCACTGTTTGTGCCGGGGCTCATGAAACGCCAGTCTTCAGGCAACACAACAGGGGTCTTCTCGACATCTTCCAGTGAAGCGTCAAAGCTATCATCACGCTCGATGGACGATTCAGCCTCAAAACTAACATCCTCCTCTTCATCTGACTCATAGCTATTCTCTCGTGACTCAGACGCAAGTGAGGAAAGATCCGGGGTTGTCATTTCATATTCATTGATTTGAGGAGGTGCGTGGTCAAATGTAACACTCTTCGCATGTCGATGCCCAGCGCTGCCATACTCGGACCAAATATCATTCTGAGGATCGAACCCCTTGCCATACCGGCTAGCTCTGGATAGCGAGGACTTGCTTGGTGACGCCTGGTCTTTGCTAGGGGATGATGGGCGAGGAATCTGGGTGGTATCTTCGTCGAATTGAGACTTTGCAACATTCATTTGGCTGTTCCGTTGGGGGGACCTCTCAGAGGCCAACGGTCTTTGAGGAAATGATACCGAAGCCGGGTCATACTCTTGACTGCCTTCGAGAAACATACTGTGGTTTTTGACCTTCGACACGCGTTTCAAATTTTCGAGAGATGGGCGCTTTGCGGGGAAATAACACCCCTCTGGGTCATATGGCGCTTTATTCTCGGCGCCCTTGGGAAACGGCGATGGTGAGTCACGACCTTTCCAAAAGAGGCGTGGGGAGTTATTGTTATTCAGAGAAGAGACATCGTAAGCAGGCGATTCGCCATGCGGCATCTGCGAGACTTGTCAGCATGTTTTATCAAATGTAAATTATTACGTTGACAGTACCTTAGTGACCTGATTCCAGCTAGGCGAGTTGCGCCTTTGAGCCATGGGACTCACTTCGGAGAGTGGCCGTTGGCCAGATCCGTTACCCATATTGACTCAAGATACGAAATATGCAGTCGTAAGAAAAGGCCAAGACAGGATGTCTATGATGTATCAGTGTTAGCTCATCAGTCCTGATCGGCGGGTGGGTTCACCACTGATGACAAAGGATAAAAGCCGAAATTACACAGAGATCGGGTACCATACCTTTCTTAATAACCAGGAGTCGCGTGGGAGATATTTGCCAGCGAGCCCTGATGCCTTCGTTGCAAAGGCTTAAAAGTCGTGTCGATCGTGGTGGGAATGCTGCGTCAAAGGGCGAAGGCACCAAAACAAACCTAAGTTGGGTGTCTGTGTATCAAACCAACGCACAAAAAGGGGGGGAAGGGATAACGAAGGGATACAAATGCCAGCTCTCAAGGAAGGCTAGCAGGGAAGAGTAACAAGAACAAAGAAAGTGGTTGTGAAGAAGAGAAGTAGAAACAACGAAACATGATATGTCTCTCCCATGGATTCAAGTGGATTGTTACCCCAAGCAAGAAAGTGTTGTTGCGGGAGTCGTCATGGCAACGGCGGGCTCCGAGTGTTTCAGCAGAGTCCCGTGACATTGCGTCAGGTGCGTATTATCGGCGCTAACCTACAAGCAGAATAGCTTTGAGGATCATTTTCGATATCGACATGCACCTACCACCTCTTCAATATATTTAGGTGGTCCTGTAAGGATTGATACATAACAGGGCAGGGATAAGTAAGAATTCAAATCTTGGTACTGGAGTTTCTTAAGGGTCCAGTCATCATTTCAAGTCTATTCCGAAAAAAACGCCGAACACAACATAGTTCTCTTTTTAATGTCTCCGCCTACTTTGTGCATTGTACTAATTGATCATCACTCCTAGTTTCCAACTGACCAACTTCATATGTGTACCTAAAAAAATGCTCAGAAGTATGATAAAATTCTCACAAAGAGGGACTTGAAATAAAAGCCATTATAGGCCTCCTCAGTATCCTGCTCCCACCAACCAGAACTCTGGCTCCCTAACCTGAGATCGCCTGCTGAAGTCAGATATATGAACTTATCCTGGAGCGAATTATGAGTGAGTCTAATCTTCCTCTAACCCAGTGGCGAATTGGATGGATCCTACTTTGGAGGTGTATATATATATCCGAGTTGCCTACAAATCTTCCGACTTTGATCCCACTAAGCCACGAATGGAGAATAGATATGACGAAATACCTTGGAATATGTAGTTTTGGCTCTTAAAATAAATATTCACACGGATCTAAGAAACAATATGATCATTAGTTAACTGTTGAATTACTGCCTGAGGCTGCCAAAATCTATGCGCTGAGTCATCATTTCAGTCACCTGATCCTGTATCAAATTTATGATCGGCGCTAGTCCGAGGGAGGAATAGCGTCTATCAGCGCGCAAAAAACATTTGAACCGGTTCTGGCCTCTTCCTTTCGATCATTCCGTGTTTCACATTTCCGCGCATCTTATCGGATTTAACTAGGTAGAATGCCTCTGCCAATTCGCTCTTCGATATGTTTTCTATGTCAAACTAAGGCGACCCTGATCGCCCCATCGATTCTACCGACCTCATGGCAGACCACGCGAGGCATGGCCACCGTCCGAGTGCGCCGCAAGGCTGCTCGGATGGCCCTGTCGCCTACGGTCGATAAACCGTCTCTGCCATCTCCTAACAAGCCACGACGAGAACGGGCCGGTCCCTTCGCCTCGATGAACCAGACTCAGGCTCGGATTCGAGAGACACCACGCACACGATCACAGGCGGCCCTCAAGCGTTCAGGAGAGGAGAGCAAGGCAGAGAAGAAGGAAAGCCCATTGTACAGAGCGTTGAAGATGCAGACAACATTGACACCTGTGCCTTACGGTCGACGTTCCGCCATCAAAGCTCGACTTGCCGACATCACCAGCTTCGATCACTTCCCTCTCCTTCCCGCAGTTCGACAGGCAATCTTCGCTCAGGCTCTGGCTGGCCTCAGTGATGTTTCCCCCACACCCATCCAAAGACTCGCCATCCCCGAACTGTTGCTGGATGAATCCAAGAAGAAGAAGAAAGTGAAGACAGTGAATGAAGATGAAGAAGAATACAATTTTGACCAGTACCTTCTGGCAGCAGAGACAGGCTCGGGAAAGACCCTCGCATACTTGATTCCAATCGTTGATGCTATCAAGCGTGCTGAGGTTCTCGATATCGCGGAGGAGAAAGCCATTGAGGAACAAAAGGCACAAGAGCGGGAAGAGAGAATGAAGAACAAGGCGTTCAATCTGGAGCCCGAGGAGCCGCCAATGACAAATGCCGCTCGTCCTCGTGCCATCATTCTCGTTCCCACTTCCGAATTAGTCTCTCAGGTTGGATCCAAGCTCAAGGAGTTGGCCCACACTGTCAAGTACCGCTCGGGCGAAATCTCATCAACTTTCACTCCCCGCCGGATCAAGAATACCCTCTTCCACCCCGCCGGCATTGATATTCTTGTTTCAACACCCCACCTTTTGGGCTCTGTTGCGAGATCCAACCCCAATATTCTCAGCCGAGTCACTCACCTTGTACTTGACGAGGCCGATTCCCTGATGGACCGCTCGTTCATCCCAACAACGTCCGAGATCATTGCCAAGGTTGCTCCTTCACTCAAAAAATTGATTCTCTGCTCAGCCACCATCCCCCGCAGTCTCGATAACCAGCTGCGCAAGCGCTTCCCTGATCTCCAGCGTCTGACGACTCCCAACCTGCACGCCATTCCCCGTCGCGTGCAGCTAGGTGTCGTGGATATTGAGAAGGAGCCATACCGTGGAAACCGAAACCTTGCCTGTGCTGATGTCATCTGGTCAATCGGCAAGGCAGGAGATAGACACGAGCACACCGAGACGTGGGGACCCCTCAATGCGTATATGGAACCGAAGGTTAAGAAGATCATCGTGTTTGTCAACGAACGCGAGGAAGCCAACGAGGTCGCCAGCTTCCTGCAATCCAAGGGCATCGATGCTGTCTCACTGAATCGTGATACTGATTCCCGGAAGCAAGAAGAGACCCTCGCGGAGTTCACGGAGGTTAAGCTCCCACCGACTGCAGAGGAGATCATGATTAATAAGAAGAAGAACCGGGCCGCCGGCAGCATTCCCTTCGAGCTCCCTGACCGCCAAGAGCCCATTCGTCGTCTTCCCGATACCAAGGTTCTTGTCACTACTGATATCGCCTCCCGCGGTATTGATACCCTGGCAGTGAAGACAGTGGTGCTCTACCACGTGCCGCATACGACTATTGACTTCATTCACCGTCTGGGTCGTCTCGGCCGTATGGGCAAGCGTGGTCGTGGTGTTGTCCTGGTGGGCAAGAAGGACCGTAAGGACGTTGTCCGTGAGGTTCGCGAGGGCATGTTCCGTGGCCAGGCTCTGATCTAGATCCAGATCCAGATCCACGCGTGCGTGCATTCATTACATTGTATAAATCTTGTAACATACATGGCGTTGGTTTGAGGTTTTGATTTTTTTGGGAACTGGAAGACGACTATACCCATTGTCGCAGCAATAGTCATTGAATCTTTGGAAGTATGTACGATATGCAATCATATATGATGAACCTAATTCTCCTCTTGTATAACAACGTCCTAAGTAACTGCATCCAAACAACTGTAACCAAATATCTCTATTCTAGCCTCTCACACAGGTATCTCCTTTGCCAGTCTTCGCCAGAAGTCACACCTCTTCTTCAACTGGACCAGCTTCACATTCTCAAACCCATGATCCACAATCACGAATTCCTCGCCCGTACCTAGTTCTGGCACACCTGGCTGCGAAGCATTTGTCACCTTGTGTGCATTTGGGTCTCCCGTCTGGAAGAAACTCGCAAAAGCTCCCGCGAAGCCTTCATAAACGACAGGATTGGTCTGCTGGACAGCGTTAATTCGGTTCCACTATCATCAGTCTAGTCAGCATATGCCACCGAAATCAGGAAACCCTCCAGGCAAAAAAAAAACCAGAAAGCAACAATATAAAGGGGAGAACAAACATAACCAGTATCACTCCCATGCGTTGCCGGGGAAATCGCATACTCCCCGACATATCCTTTCTTCGTCGCAGCGGATGAAATCCAATAAGCCGGACAAGCAAGCACAGTATCCCGGTAAACCAAACCAGCCCGAACATAAGAAGTATTATAGCTGTCGATCGTCTCCGTATTTCCCTCAGCAGGATAATAAAGAGTTTCCACTTCACGAATCTGCTTGGCCGACAACCCAGGCACGAAACCAGAAAGCCACTGGTGGAAGCTCGCAACAGAGGAATTAAATCCGTTTACTGAAACAGCGCTGTTAAGACCTGATGGAACGAAGTTCTGGCCCTCGTGGCTGTTGTACATTCCCCAGACAAACTCTGTGTTCAGGGAGTCCCTGTTCACAGTGTCTGTGAGTGTCTCGACGAGGAAGGTTCCGTCTATCACAGGCGCCCAACTGTAAGAGCTCGTCGTCCAAGTGTGGCTTCCTCCAATGATCAGGCTCGCGTCACGGATCTTCTGGACGTCCACGGATTTGAGACAAGCGAGCGTCTTATCCGCGTGTCCATAGCTGGCACAGCCTGTTAGGTTCGCCAGCTGTGTGTATATTTCTTCTGCTTCGGGTGCGTTGTATTTATATGTCTTAGGCCAGAACGGCGAGCTGGCAAGGGCTTTGGAGAATAGTTTCGGTTGGCCATGCCGGCCATTTGCGAGGACTTGCGCGACTACTGAGCCAGCACCGGCTGACTGGCCCCATATTGTTACGTTGTAAGGGTTGCCGCCAAAATGTTGGATGTGGCGCTGGACCCATTTCAAGACATATTGCTGGTCTAATAGGCCCGGGTTTAGATCTGAGGTGGACGAGTCTTTGATTGCCTTTCCCGGTAGGAAGCCGAAGGCATTGACACGGTAGTTGGCGTAGATAACGAGGTAGTCGTTGATATTGCTGACATTGAGGACCGGGAATGAGGATGGCGGCATGGTGAATGCCGCGCTACCTTGAATGAAAGCTCCGCCGTAGAATACGACCAGCACTGG